GCCACAGCAGGGTGCCACGTGCAGCGCACCTGAGAAATCGCAGGGTGTTTGCTTCGTCTTCTTTCCTTGACAGACTTTCACTAGCCAGTGGGTTTGAGAAAAGGCCAGGGTATGCCTGGCGCTAGGGAGGGATTTCCGAACAAGTTATGATGAAGGCATGAGATATGGGGGATGCGATAGGAGCTGGGACGAAACGGGGGGGGGGGGGGGGCGCTGACGAGAAGACCCCTTGTGGGGTTGTTTTGCATACTTGCCCTTGTGATTCACGGCGTGGTAGATGGAGAGGAGGTAGGACGTGACCGATCAGAGGCAATCAGAAACTTCCTGGAACCCAGGTAGCTGATTTCAGACAATCGGGGACAATCAACTGATTGCGATCAATCGATCGCCCCAACTCGATCAACCACCTCAATCAGCCCAATCAACCACGATATACTACAACTAAAGAACGACAATTTGATTGCATGGGGTTGGGGATGTTAGCGACGCCAGCGGAAAGTTGCAGTGTCACGTTTCGCTCGTTAAGCAGTCGCACATGCTTCAGGTAAGGTATCTTTTGCATTATACAAGGAAACAATGCCTTCGCTGTATCAATTTGGGTCTTCATTCTCGCCAAAGTTGGGAGAAAAGTGTCAGGAAATGGTGACACGCTTACTGTGCAGGCGCCTCAAAGTTCATAGGAATAATACCATTGACGCGAACAATGCAATCACAAGCAACCCGATCAGATCCGACCCGACCAAATCAGAGCCGGTCTGGGCCACGTCCTACGAATTGGTCGCACGGAAGATTTAGATATGGTTCTGTAGGTTACATAATGTATCACGATGGGTGTAGTACGGTGGCCGATCTATCGTTCTGCAGGATCGCCACTTTAACGACGTGTTGCGATCCAACCAGATTGCCTCGAACCGATGTGTTTCTTGGAAGTCAGAGTCGAGATTCCAACGAATCAGATTGGGGTGGTCTGGGCCGACCACGCCGATCCGACCCAGTCCAATCTGGTTGGATCGCAACACGTCAGTACCACGCCCAATCTCTCTCTTTCCCACCCGAATCGCGGTATTGGGTGGGGCCCCTTTCGCCCACACATTTGCCTGTCCAGAATTCAGTTTTCGGCAGCCAGCTGCAAGGAACTCCCCGAACTTCGGCATTTTACCTCTGCAATGTACACCTTGTTTCTCGCTAGCCTGACTTTGGATTTACTGGCCAAGACGGTTTGTAGAAACGCAACCAAGGCGGTTAATAAATTATTTATGTAAGAACGGCTGGGAAAGGTCCTATCACATGCGGTAGAGTGACAATTTTTCCCAAGGCGGTTAATAAAGGTTTTATGTAAGAACGGCTGGGAAGGGTATTCAGCGTTAAGTTATGTAACCAGCCCCGCTAAATCCTTACACTGAAGCCAATGATTCCGCCAGTGAGAAGGTCGAAAATGAGAGTGTATACAGTGCTGCGCTGTACGTGTGTGTATTGGGCAGAAACTGTGCTCCATAAGCAACAAAACTGTGCTCGAGGCGAAGCTAGCGAGCATGCCTAGCCCCCCTCGGCTTCTGGACGAGAGTGCCATCCTGGATAATATCGTGTCTCTGGGAAATTTTTTATTGTGGTTGACCAATTGGGAGGACGGGGGGGAAATCTAGGTACAGTACACACCACAGGGACCGTACGCGAGCCTCCTTGATGAAGCACTTCCCTTGAAGCCATCTCCAACTTCTCCGATCTAACCTACACGGACAAGCCCTTGGAGGGAGGCCTTTTGCAGTGGTACCTGATCCTGTCTAAAATGACGGCGCTACTTGAAAGTCGCCACTCCATTTCCCTTGGTCTCCGTGTTATTGTATTTTCCACAGGTATCTCCTCCCACCTGTTCAAGCAGACCAAGACGTTGTCGCCGCCTTTCAAATATCCGCCATTGCGAACGAGTGTTGGCTGGCGCTTACCGCTGCGTCACGGCTCAGCTAGCTTCAGGGTTCATGAATCACAACTCTGATTTCGACCTGAGACTGATTTAGTTCAAGCTCGATGTTCCAAATTGCGGTTTCGCGCCGATTCGTGAAAGCACTTTATTACCGTGCACCTGTACTACGTGCCTATTTTCAAGAAGGTATATAGGACCTCCTCGTTCTGTCCTCGCTAATAAAAAAGGTAGTGATCGCAGTCATGGCGGACCGCCCTTCTTACGAGCACTATTCAGGCTCATCAAACAGCCAGGCGGGTTCCCGCCAAACTGCAAGCAATAATACTGTCAGCACGACCGCCAGTGCTGCTACCACTACTATCGGCGCGAGTCGTTTCAACCCAGAGGCTAACGCCAGTAAGCACTACGGTAGTGCTTTATCCTGCGAGAACAGATTAGTAGCAGACCAACGCGCGCTCGATTCGTTGGGCGGCAGCGAAGTCACAAGGCCACCTAGTAATAGTAAAGCGGGTTCAGATACTAGTACCAGAATCCTCGGCAGCGTCGGCAGCGCTCCAGCCAGCAGGCACGCGCCGCAGCATCCGTTGTCGGCGCGGCGACAGCATCCGTTGGATACGCACCGCAGCGGCGTCCCCCTGTTCTCCCCGCATCTGGATCTCGCATCCGCCTTCGCCGCAGTAACTGGCGCCGCCGGCGGGGTCTGCGCAACGATCTCCCCCCGCGCGCGCGGAGAGCTGGATCTGCGCCACTTCCGCCAGCTCCTCGCGGCAGAGGGTTTAGAGAACCAGATTCTTGGAAATCGGATCTGGGACCTGTCCGCAGCGGCGCGAAGGACGCATGACGGAAACGTTCCCGCGGGAGACGTTAGCAGCCGCTTCGGATGTCGCAGCGGGGAAGGCGGCGCCCACGACGGCGTCGGCAGTGTCGGCGGCGGCGGCGGCAGAAACGTGGCACGTGTCGCGAATGTTCCGCCGCAATTGCCATGGACTGGAGTTGGCCCCGCCGCAGCGCGCGGTGCGGATGATCATGATGCGGCCGCCGCCCCTTCCGTGTCGCGACCCAGTGAGTTGAAATTGGCAGATGCGCTGCTTTCCGCAGTCGGCGGCGATCACAATTATTGTGACAAGCCGCATCAAGGCCGTGGTGCCGAACCGTGGTCCACGAAAGTCCTGCGCGCGCCCTCCCCCATACCCTTCCCCCCGCCGTTCCCCCTGTCCTCCCTCCAGCCCTCCCCCATGTCGTTCCCCCTGCCCTCCCCTCTGCCCTCACCTATTGAGCGCCTTCATCGGCGCCTCCCCTCTCCGCCCCCGTCGCCTGCTGGTGACCGCCGGGTGTCCTTAAACCCTCCGACGCACCACGCTCGCGACGATCGCGACGCCGCACTTTCTCCCCGAGCAGCCGCGCCGTCAGAGCCTAGAATCCCTCTGTGTCGCGGGGACGCCGTCGCCGCCGCATCACAACAGGATTCGCGGACTTGCGCCGCGCGGGTGCGACTTCCGCCCGAGCCTTGTTCGGGCGCGGGGACTCAATCCGCGGGCGGCTTCCGCATGCAAAGCAGCGCTCTGCTTCCGCCGACGCCTCAATCCCAGTTCCAACAGGAAGGCGCAGCTCGCGGGAAGAGCGCAGCGGCGCAACCACCAGCGCTGCGCAAGCGCGGGGCGATGAAGTGCGATGATGCGGAAGGCGCGGCAGGGGGAACAGGAGCGGAAGCGGGAGTGGGAGCAAAAGTGGTGAGCAGAACAGCAGCCGATTCCCTCCCTCCCGCCGACGCCGTCGCGTCCGCCGCCGCCACCCGCGCGGAATTGGGAGCTGGGGTGATTGGCGGTGGGGCCGAGGGCTTCAAATCTGCGGCGGCGGTGGCGGCGGTGGCGGCGGAGGGGAGGTACAGGTGCGACATCTGCGGCGCGCGGTTCCACAAGCCGCAGGCGCTGGGTGGCCACAAGGGCAGCCACCGACAGGCGATGGCGCAGCAGTCGCAGGCGCACGCGCAAGCGTTGGTGCAGGCGCAAGCACAGGCGCAAGCACAGGCACAAGCACAGGCGCAGGCGCGGGCACAGACGCGCAACGACTCGAGATCGTCGAAGCGGCCTGCTTCGCCAGGTGTGCGCGCGGGTTGCGGCGGTACAGGCTTGGAGGGCCGCGACGAAGCTGCGCCGCCGCCGCCGCCGCCGCCTCCGCCGCCCCAATCGTTTGAGACGCCGCCCGAAAGCTTTAAGGTCTCCGCAGCCGCCGCGCTCATGGGCGCAATGGCGGAAGGGCGGGGAATCCCTGGCGGCGCGGCCTTCGCAGCGCTGCGGCATGCCATGCTTGCGATGGCGTCCGTTTCAGCGTCGGATCTTCATCCAACGGCTCTTTCTAATCCGCGCCCATCCCACCCTCTCCCGTCCCCGCCACATGACGCGCCCCAAAATGCGGCGGGTCCAGCAACCCCGCGCGGCCTGCTCGACAAAACCGCAGCGTTCGGTACATCCGAATCGGACCATCATAATGATAACCAAAACAATACTAATATTAATAACAATCATCATTATCATCATTGGCTGCTGCCCAGCAATGCGCACACGTCCCCTTCCAGTGTGACGAGAGTCTTGCAAGCCGTCGAATCAAACCCGCCGGAGGGTTTCCCTTGCAGTGGCAATGCCAATGGCGGGGGTGGTGGTGGTGGTGGTGGCGGTGGCGGATGTGGTGGTGGCGGGGGCGGGGGCGGGGGTGGTGGCAATGGCAACAGCAGTCAGAGGAGCGGAACTGTGCAACACACAGGAAGCAGGGGCGGCGGCTTTCTAGATTCCGTCCGTCTGGGAGGCGCGGCTGCTCTTCCAGCTGCCAACCAGCAGTACTGGGGCCGTGGCGCTGGCGCTGGCGGCGGTAGCGGTGGTGGCGGCGGTGGTGGCAGCAGCTGGATCCTTTCCGCGTTCTTGGAAGCTTCTGCATTTGGGTCGGTTGGGGGTGGTAGTGGCGTGGGACGCGTAGGAGGCGTGGGAGGCGTAGGAGGCACAGGAGGCTTATTTTCTGGCCGCAGCAACTTGCTCTTTGAAGCTAATGGAATCGTGACAAGGGATGGTGATGATGGTGATGACAGAGTGACAATAGAGGAGACCCCTAACGTGCTTGGAGCGTTACAGATACCGGATTCTCCTGCTGGGCTGGAAGCGTCTAAGGACATGGGAATGCGGGAGTTTGAAGCTCTTCCTGCGTGTTCTCCTAGGGTTCCTAAGGAATCGTGGGAAAAGCAGCTGCTGACCTTGTTCTTTCAGCAACAGCAACAGCAGCAACAGCAGCAACAGCAACAGCAGCAGCAGCAGCAGCAGCAGCAGCAGCAGCAGCAGCAGCAGCAGCAGCAGCAGCAGCAGCAGCAGCAGCAGCAGCAGCAGCAGCAGCAGCAGCAGCAGCAGCAGCAGCAGCAGCAGCAACAGCAGCAGCAGCAACAGCAGCAGCAGCAACAGCAGCAACAGCAGCAACAGCAACAGGAGCACGGGCAGAATCAACAGCAGAGCCTGTCTCTGCAGGAGGCAGAGAGGTCAGGGGCGGACGAATCGAGGTTGTCACTTTGGTTCAGGCAGCAGCTGAACAGCAGGCTTGGAAATGACAGGCTTGGAAATGACAGGCTTGGAACTGACAGGCTTGGAACTGACAGGCTTGGAACTGACAGGCTTGGAACTGACAGGCTTGGAAATGACAGTCTTGGAACTGACAGGCTTGGAACTGACAGGCTTGGAACTGACAGGCTTGGAACTGACAGGCTTGGAACTGACAGGCTTGGAACTGACAGGCTTGGAACTGGTTCTGTGGGTATTCTGAAGACAAATGGTAGCGGTGGTGGTGGCGGCAGTGGTGGTGGTGACGGCTGCAGTGGTGATGGTGCTGCTGCTCCTGCTGATAGTGAGTCTGCAGCATTGTTGCCTGGCTCACAAACAGGAGCGATAGCCTTTTCTGAGGCTCCCTGTAAAGGGGCAGGAGGAGAGCATAAGGACAATGGTGCTAGGGCTGGCATGGGAGAAATGCAGGGAGGCGCATGGGACAGATTCGTGGGGATAGAGGAGGGGGGAGTGGGGCAGAAGAAAGGGAGGGAGAGGGGGGAGCGGAGGCAGAGGGAGGTGGGGGAAGTGAAGCGCGGTCGTGTGGACAGTAGTGCTTGTTTGAACCTGTCGCTGTCAGGGGTGTGGGACGGTTTGGGAGGCGCAAGCCGTGGTGGGGTAGGGAGAAACGGAGGGAACGGAGGGATCAGTGGGAACGGAGGGGAGGGAGGGGAGGGAGGGGAGGGAGGGGAGGGAGTAGAGACGAGGAGTGCTCTGATACCAAGTTCTGTGATGAGGCGGTGGGGTGAGAAGGGCAGAAGGGAGGTGGAGCGCGGTGGGCGTGCGTGGGAAGGGTGTGACGAGAGGCTTCCTGAGGTGGGTCAGGAAGTAGGGGGAGGTGTGTTGCGAGGGGAGAGGGGCGACGAGGGAAAAAATACAGTGGGAGTGAGAAGTGAGAAGATAGGGGCAAGAGATGGTTTAGGTTCAGATGTGAGGGTTGTGGTTGATCAGGGAATGAGACTGGGGAGCAGAGGGGAAGAAGTGGAGAGGCGGATGGAAGCGATTGTGGAAAGGAAGGAGCAGCAGGAGCAGCATAATGACTGTTTGGCATCAGTGCTCTCCTTGGCAACAGCAGTAGGAAGCTCTGCCGTTGCTGCTGGCACTCTTCCCGTTTTGAACCGTCTCAAAACGGGAAGGAAGGAGCAGCGGGAGCAGCATGATGACTGTTTGGCATTGGTGCTTTCTTTGGCAACAGCAGTAGGAAGCTCTGCTGTAGCTACTGGCACTCTTCCTTGCAGCGTTGCTGCAACCAAGAGCAGCAATTATGCTGCTGCTACAGCAACTGTGCCTGGGGCTGCTGCGGATATGGCTCCTCCTGCTGCAATAATGGCTGCTGGTGCTGCTATGTCTCCTGGTGTGGCCTCTGGTGCGGTTATGGCTCCTGTTGCGGTAATGGCAGTGGCTGAAGCAGGGGGAGCAGGGGCGGCTGGGAGTGGTGGGGTGAGGCTGTTTGGAGTTGATATGGCATTGCCCACTGAAGTTGGTCCGCGTTTTTGTTCTTAGGGACGATCAGGCAGGCAGTCTGCACTTGGTCAACGCTGTCAATACCGGTCAATATACCGGCTGACTGGCTTGCGTCAGTCTGACTCGCAATGCACCATCGTACGGTATGCATGGTGCCCCTTTTTAAGGCTTTGTGTATGTCAGACACTGAGATAAAAGCTGCATAGCCTTGGATTAACTGCACAATACAACAGAGCTTGTGTATTCTATAAAGTATTCCTAGCCAAACAACAAACTAATGAAATGGGTTACCAGCAAAGGGTGTGCAGTAGAACCATGGACAAAAACGCTGCAATGGGTGGTGGGAGAAGGGAAAAATGAGCAGGAAACTGCTTGTTCTGTGCTACTGGTGTCATCTCCAGTCATCTCCAGGTCAAGTCAAACCACAGTGTTACACAATCCACAAAACACATTCCACAATCCACAATACTCCTCACCCTCACAATACCATCCCATCCCATCCCATGCGATCATCACAGTCATCATATCAGTGTCAAGACAAGAAGCCGCATGGTTGCTGCATTGCAGGTCTCCATCCCAAAGACCCGTCGTGAGTCGTGACGGTTACAGGTCTCCAAAATGCCCGTCACACAGCAACCTTCTCCTCTTCCTCATGCCTTGGGTGACTTCAACTACATACGGTAATCCGCGTGTGAAGGAGGCGGGTCGATTCATGAGATGAGACGTCTCACACAAATCGTCACAGGTCTCGCAGATGCCCGTCACACAGCCTCTTCTTCTCCTCCTCCTCCTCCTCCTTTCCTTGAGCGACTTGATCTCTACAATCCGCGTGTAAGGAGGCGATCCTGGCAAGTCTCAACCATCGTCACAGGTCTCCTAGGTGCCCGTGACAGCCTCTTCTTCTCTTCCTCCTTTCCTTGAGCGACTTGATCTCTAACATCTGCGTGTGAGACGATCTTGATAGGCCTCAACCATCGTCACAGGTCTCCCATGTGCCCGTCGCACAGCCTCTTCTTCTCCTCCTTGAGACGCCTCAAACACGCCTCAAACACGCCTCAAACACGCCTCAAACACACCTCAAACATGCCTCCTTCCAAAGACGCCTCAAACACCGTCACAGGTCTCCCAAGTGCCCGTCGCACAGCCTCTTCTTCTCCTCCTTCAGCGACTTGATCTCCCGCAGAATGCTCTCGTCTGCTGGTGCCCCTCCGGCGATCGTTTCCTCAAGAGTCGCTATGATGCGCTCTATGCTGCGGATCTGAACAAACACACAGATCGTTTCCTCAAGAGAGAAACAAACACACAGCAGAACAGCAGTCAGAGAGGCAGACAGATGGGCAGATGAACGGACAAACCGAGGGATGGCCCCAGAAGAGACAAAGAGGTGGCACATTTGAGTAACTTCTGAGTTGCTTCTGAACGAACACAAAGGGAATCACAACACCCTGCTGTGTGTATGTGTTCTATGCATCCGCTGCGTCTCATTTTACCCTTTCGCTCGTCCATTCTGTGGGCAGATTTTCCCACAGGGTGGCTGATGATTGTCGTTTTGAGAATTCTCAAAGACCAACTTACCTTGCATGTCTTACCTTGCATGTCTTACCTTGCATGTCTTACCTTGCATGTCTTACCTTGCATGTCTTACCTTGCATGTCTTACCTTGCATGTCTTACCTTGCATGTCTTACCTTGCCTGCCTTACCTTGCGATGTGGCCACCTCCGCATGCCATGGCGCCGGCAAATCTTTTTCAGAACCGTCGGGCAGATGCCCAGCTCCCGGGCAGCCTCGTTGATGGGCAGGTGGAAATGTTTTGCGAGGTCGGGCAGCTGAATGCGGCCTGACTTTTCCCTCTGCAGAAAGAAAATCCCAGACAGGCAGGTGGATGGGGAAGGGGAGCAGGCGGTATAGAAGGGAGGGTGGGAGGGGTATGGAAGAGGAGGAGGAGGAGGTGGGGAAGAGCTTGTGATAAGCATGTATGGCAGATGCGAAAAGGTTGGTGCATGAGCACGTGACGGTGAAGTGACCACACAACAGGCAGGCAGGTAGGGTGGTAAGTGTAAAGCAGGTGCATATTATTACCGGAGTGCGTGGGAAATTACTTTTGCACTGACTCTAAATTCACCTACTTCTTTTGAGCTGACTCAGAGGTGCAAAGTTGTAGAGGCAATGGGTGTGTGTGAAAGGTTCTCAAGTGTGCACTGAAAGGTGTACTGTGGTCAAAGCAGAGAAGAAGATAGTGCGAGGGGATGTGCGAGGGGGGGGATGTTGGGGAAGGAGGGCAGCAGGGGGTTTCACCTGAGCAGCTGCATTACTCCTGGTTGCACCACCAGCAGCAGTGCTGCGAGCGCCAGTCGAAGCAGCAGCAGCAGCAGCGGCAGCAGTGGCAGCAACAATAGCAGTGGCAGTTGCAATGGCAGCAGCAGTGGCAGCAGCAGGTGTGAAACCCGAACCAGACGCAGCAGGGGATGGGATACGAGCTGACACAGCAGCAGCAGCAGCAGCAGGGATGGACGAGGCAGGTGTGGTAGGAGGAAGAGGAGGAAGAGGAGGACGAGGAGGCAGAGGAGTGGTAAGAGGCAGAGCATTCGGGAATGCAGCTCGCACCAGGGCTGATCCATGCCCTTCAACCTTGATGGACTGAGGGTGCAGCTTTACTGTTCCTTCTCCTGCCCCTTCTTTCGCTGCAGCAGAACAACTAGCACCAGCAGCAATAGTAGAAGCAGCACCAGCGCTAGCAGCACCCACACGTTGTCTCCCTTTCCTTCCACGAGTGCCACCACTGCCCACACCACCAGACGCAGCAGGTACTGCAGCACCAGGAGCTGAACCACCGCCTGTGGCAGCGGCACCAGAAGCAGCAGCAGCAGTGCCAGCAGCAGTGGCGCCAGAAACAGATGCTTTGATTTCCAATGGGAGCGATCCCTTAGCTTTTCCACGTCCCTGTGACCCTGCCTGTGTTCGACCCTCTGCCTGCACTTGCACACGCCCTTGCGCCGCATTCTGTGCCGCCGCTTGTGCCGCCGCTTGTGCCACACTGCGTGCTGCAGTCAACGGTGGTGCCGGGACCACTGGTGTAGTGTGTGGTTTAGTATGCGGTGATGCCGTGTGTGATGCAGTGTGCGTTGCAGTGTGCGGTGCAGTGTGCGCTTTAGTGTGCGCTTTAGTGTGCGCTTTAGTGTGCGCTTTAGTGTGCGCTGCAGTGTGCGCTGTAGTGTGCGCTGTAGTGTGCGCTGCTGGTCTCTTGGCTTGAAGCCCATTCATTGTCAGCACAGCAGCACTGGAGCCCCGTGGGTGCGTCGAAGGCGATGTGAGGTGCGAGGACGACGAGGGGTGCGAGAGACGAGCGGGATGAGGGGCGTGAGAGGGGTTAGAGAGGTAGGAAGTGGTGGGATATCCAAGAGGCTCAGCAGGCAATGGCGCCTGCTGCTCATGCTTCTGCTGCTCCTTCTGCTGCTGCTGTTGCTGTTGGTGCTGGTAATGCTGCTGCTGCTGCTGCTGCTGCCGCTGGTGCTGGTACTGCTGCTGCTGCAGCTGCGGGTGTGGGTGCGGGTGGGAATGCAAGTGTGGGTGCAGGCCAATAAAGCAGTCAATGTCTACTGCATCATCGCACACAGCAGCCTGGTACCCCTGCCAACCCCTCTCCATCTCCTCCTCCACCCCTTCCTCCCACACCTCCTCTACCCCCCTTCGTCTCTCCTCGCCCTCAACGGCGCTCAACCCCGCACCACCCAACAAGGCACCAGGAACAGCAGCAACATGCTCAGAAGCAGCAGCAGTGGCAGAAGGAGAATCAGGAATTGGGCAATCAGACTGGTGAGGGGAATCGGGGCAGCGGTAGTTGCGGTGCGTTGGAGGGGAACCGCAGTGAGAGGGGTTTGGCGTGGTACCGGGGCATTCGGAGGGGTGTGGGGGAGCGGGGCAGTGGGAGAAGAAGGGGTGGAGGCGGGAGAGGTGCAGCGAGGGGCTGAAGGAGTGGTGGCAGAGCACAAAGCCGTCCCCATGGCGCTGCTCGTCGTAGTGCAGCAGCAGATGCGCTATGAACGCCGGGGAGTCGTCTGGTAGGCTGGTGGGAGTGGTGGGGAGCGGTGGAGAGCGGTGGAGAGAGGTAGACGGGGGTGGGGTAGGGTGGGGCGGGGTGGAGAAGGTGGGGCAGGGTGGCAGGGGTTGGGAAGGGAGGGGAGGGGAAGCATGAGTGGAGAGGAGGGGCTGAAGGAGTGGTGGCAGAGCACGAAGCCGTCCCCATGGCGCTGCTCGTCATAGTGCAGCAGCAGATGCGCTATGAACGCCGGGGAGTCGTCTGGTAGGCTGGGAGGGATGGAGAGTGGTGGAGAGGGGTGGGGCGGGGTGTGGTAGGGTGGGGCGGGGTGGAGAAGAGAAGGGTGGGGCAGGGTGGTAGGGGTTGGGAAGGGAGAGGGGGGGAAGAATAAGTGTGGGAGAGGGACAGGGGAGAGGTAGTAGTGCTAGTGGGGAGACAGCGTGAGGGAGGGGGGGGATGGAGAAGGAAACGTAGGGAGGGAAGGGAATGGGAGGTGAATAAAGAGGGATGTGAAGAATCATCTGAAGGAAGAGAGTTGGTGAGGTGATGTGATCACAACAAGCAGCATGGCAATCGAGCATTAAGGTGTCCCTTGAATGAGTTTTTTAACACCTCGAGAAAGAAAGCACACTGGAGAGGAGATCAGAAGGACGATAGCATTCACAAGAACACCACACGCCAACTCAGAAACGATAACAATCAACATCATCATCAGCATCATCCTCATCCGTGTCACCGTAGCCGTGTTGCTCTCACTCAAGTCGTTGCTGCTCAAAACAAATTGTGCTGCCGCTGCCGCCACTGCCGCTGTTGCTTCCATTCGCGTTTCCCACTCCCACTCCATTGCCACAATCCCCTGTTGTCAAAACGGTCAGAGAGCTCATATTCACAGATGCGTCTGATCCCCCCCTCAGCCGCTCCACCATACCACCCTCCTCCTCCCCCTCATCCTCCTCCTCGCCCTCCGCCTCCTCTTCCCCATCCCCCTCCTCCTCTCCCTCTTCCTCTCCTTCATCCCTCTCCGCCCCATCTCCCCCTTCCTCATCCCCTTCCTCTCCCTCCTTACCTTCCCCCACCTCGGTCACCGCCCCTCCCTGACTGCTCCTGCTGTTGCTGTTTCTGCTTCTGCATCCGTTGGCACTCCATTTCTGAGGCGCCTCGAAAATGGACTCGGACCGGGGATGGCACCCGTTAGCACTCCACACGGCGTTGCTCATGCTGCTGCTGCCGTTCCGCTCCGCCCCTCTCCTCGCCCCTCCCTCCGCCTCGTGCCGTCCCAAGCCGGAGACTGAAGAGATGCCCACCAGGCCGGATTCGGTGGTGCTCTCTGTCTTGGGCGCCTCAGAAACCACCATGCTCGGAGGCAGCGACAGCGGCTGCTGCTGCTGCTGCTGCTGATGCTGCTGCTGCTGCTGCTGCTGCTGCTGCTGCTGCTGCTGCTGCTGCTGCTGCTGCTGCTGCTGCTGCTGCTGCTGCTGCTGCTGCTGCTGCTGCTGCTGCTGCTGCTGCTGCTGCTGCTGCTGCTGCTGCTGCTGCTGCGGCTGTGGTTGTGGCACGTGGGAGCTGAAGCGTGTGAGCAGCACGGCGTGCACGTCTGCATCGCTGCCTGCCCCCATATGCACCTCCAGACGCGTGTCGTACAGACCTGGAGGGAGGGCGAGGAGGGGCGCGGAGTGAGAGTGAACGAGTGAGAATGGGAGTGAGACGACAAGGGGAAAGGGCGAGGGTGGGGAGTGAAGGAGTGAAGAAAGGAAGTGAGTTGGGTGAGGGTGATAGCTCCAAGCCGTTGCGAGGAGAGCAAGGCAGGTTGGAAACGAGGTGAAAGGAAACGCAGCGGCAGCAGCAGCAGCAGCAGCAGCAGCAGCAGCAGCAGCAGCAGCAGCAGCAGCAGCAGCAGCGGAACACAGAAATCTTAGAAATCAGGCGTTGGTGTGGAGCAGGCGGTGGAGCACAGAGCATCTGGAGAACAATTCTCGCTCGAGTTGAAATTTTCATTACGGGAAGGGAAGGGGAGGGAATGGAACAGCAACACAGGACTCACCGTTGGTGTGGAGCAGGCGATCAAGCACGGAACATCCATGGCACGTGGCAGCTGCATGCCCCATGGGCGTGACCACCCTCGCCATGCCTGCTGCCACGTCCCTGAACTTGACATTCATGTCTTGCAGTGTGAACAATGACAGGGGCAAGGGGGGAGACTCACCGTTTGTGTGGAGCAGGCGGTCGAGCACAGAGCATCCATGGCACGTGGTCGCTTCATGCCCCATGGGCGTGACCACCCTCGCCGTGCCTGCTGCCACGTCCCTGAACTTGACATTCATGTCTTGCAGTGTGAATGGCAGCGATGTGGGCACCACGGGTGTCTGCACGTGGATCAGCCCTGAGGTGGGCAGAACGATGAGTTTCTCTGGACGGGCAGAAGCAAGGGAGGCAGAAGCAAGGGAGGCAGAAGCAAGGGAGGAACAAGCAACCATGGCACCCGCTACCTCCCCCTTGCCCCCCTCTTCTTCTCCATCCCTCTCATATTCCCCCACTTCCTCCTCCTCCTCCTCGTCCCCGCACTCCTCCCTGTCACCTCCGCCACACGCGAGCTCAAACCCCTCTGCTTCGCCACACTCCAGTGTATCACCTTCCCCCGACCCACCTTTCACTCCCCCGCCTTCTGCCCCCTCACTTCCTCCCTCTCCCTCCACAGGAAGGTCCTGGGAGGAGCGAGCGGGCTGGTGAGAGGGTTCACACACCGCAGCATACCGCTGAAACGGGGACTCTGAGGGCTCAAATTGGAGGTAATAGCGGGAAGCTTCGAGGTCCTGGTGGTCCGTTGAGCCATCATAGTGGCAGTAGTTGTGGTGGTGCTGGTAGTGGTGTTGGTGCTGCTCTGCCTGAGACTGCAGCATGTCATCCTCTGCTGAGCTCTGCAGTAGCTCCTCCTCGTTCGATGCAGCGGCGGCGATGATGCCAGGTGGCACAGCCGCGCGTGTGGGCAGCACGCGTGTGGGCAAAGACTCGCTGAAAAGCACGTCTAGGGAGTCTCTCGCTACCGAAATATGCGGATGCTGGTACGGGTACGGGTGCAAGTGCGGGTGTGAGCTCGAGTGCGAGTGGGGGTACGGATGCGACTGAGGGTGTGGGTTCCAAAGGGCAGATGGAACGGGAATCGGCGACTGAGGGAGAGTGAGCAGCGGAGGGAGGAGCAGGTGCGCGAGGAAAGAGGAGTCGTAGTCACAGGGAGGGGGGGTAGTCGATGCGAGCCCTTCCTGCGTTTCATCTTCTGCTACTGTCGTGGCAAGCCCTTCACCCCTGTGCTCCTCCAATTCATCTTCTGCTACTGCCGCTCCCAATCGCGCTCTCGCTCCCGTTCCCGCTCCCGCTTCCGCTTCCGCTTCCGCTTCCGCTTCCGCTTCCGCTTCCGCCCCGGCTTCAGCCCCCGCTCCTGTTCCTGCTCCCGTGCGCGTGCGCTCCCGCTTGTTGCGCGGGCTTCTGATCGGGGTTCCGGAGTTACTGCTGGGAGTGGTGGCATCACCTCGCATCAGCGAGCTCCTTCCTCGCTTTCCACTAGAAATAGGGGTGAACGTTCCAGGAGTGCCAGAGGATCGTTCTGGAGCCATTCGCATTGCCATTCCCAGCTTGGACGGACCTGGTCCTGTTCCTGTTCCCTGGTGATTGTCACGTGCTCGGAGGAAGGGAGATGCGCCATTTCCGTTATTCCTGTGGCAAGGACGAGTATGTTAATCCACTATCTCGCTTTCCTCTTCCTCTGCCGCCCCTCTTCTCGTTTTGAGAAGGAAGGGGGGTTTTCCATTCTGAGGCGGGTGGGTGTAAGAAATGTTCAGAACAAACGTACCCTAAATGGGACGGAGCTCGCAGGGCTTCCAGGCGCCCCGTGGCTGATCCCCGCCCACTTTCCGGTCCTCCTTCCGCCGCTTGCGCCGGATTCCACGGCGGGTTGTGCGGCAATTCGCATCCAAATGCCTCCCTCTGTTCGTGCTTCCAAGCCGCGACCTGCCGAAATTCTGCCGCTGCCGCGGTGAAAACATCCGCGTCATCATCGCGTAACGGCGGGAGCGCTTCGGCGGCGGCGCCTGCGGCGGCGTCGGCGGCGGCTTCGTCGGTGGCGGCGACAGGGGAAGCGTGTTCAGCGTCCATATAACCATGGTCGAGAGGATAAGCGGGATGAAAGGACGCGGCGAAGTCCATACCCGTGGGGAGGGACAGGGGCGACTCGGACGATCCGCCGCCATAGAAGCAAGCGACGTTTATGGAGTGCGCGTTGATGGATTGCACGAAAGCGGCGGCTGCGGAGCCAGGCGACAGGCCCGTCGGCGACCAGAACGCGGAGGACGGGTACGCGGGCGATGGGTACGCTACGGCCGATGATGGGTAAGCGGCGGGTGATGGGTACGCCGGCGATGGGTAAGCGTGCGATGGATAATGGGGGGAAGGAAGAGGTGGTGGTGTCTGCGAGGTTGCGCCATCCCACACGACCGCCGCCTCTAAGGGGTACCCGCCGTTTCTCGCGCGGCTTGCGCCGGCGTTCGCAGAGGGGGAAAGGAAGAAATCGGAGGGGAGGGTTTCCAATGGGAGCGCGATGGAGCCGACTGCTTGCGGCGTGAATGGCTGGAACGTGCCTGTATGCGAAGTGGCTATATGGGGAGTTTCGGAGACCAGGGGGTATGCTGGAAAGTCTACCTGCGTGAATGGGAGGTCAAGGTGAGACGCTATATCGGGGGTGGAGTGGTCCGTAGGGAGCCCAAAGGTATTCGCTACGGTGAACCCCGGAGCTGCTTCGATAGTGTAATTCGCGCGGTGCGTTGACGACGGGGATGATAACGACTGGACGCATTGAAGCGGACGGAGCGGCAGTGAGATTTGCTGATGGTTGGGATGAGCAACGGTAGACGACGCGAGGATACTAGGTGTAACAGGTTGTGCTACTGCAGCCATTCTCCAGCCGGAGAAATGGCGGCAGCGGAAGAAACCACTTGCTCTACTACCACCGCCGTCACACAAATTGTGACAGCAATGGAAGAGAGAAGCCTCCTTCGGTCACGGCAACCCACCCCAGGTCCTCAGCCGCAATCTTTGATAATTTCTGCTGTGGCCGAATTTGGAAAGAGAAAGGCGGTTGGAGGAAGATGAGTTGGGAAAGGAGGATCGAGGGTGAATTGGCTGTGGCTGGGAGCAGGGAACAAAATGCTCGTTTGAATTTCCAAATTGGTTGGTTTGCAGTTGTAACCGAGACGCGGTTGGACTCGAGGCGGTTCGCGCGCAGTTGCCTTTTCGGGCGACGACTCGCTGACGGATGAGGGGAGCCGTCGCACACTGTTGATGGGTGGCGTTGAGTGGTTCACGACGAGTCACGACCGATGGCGAGGATCGTAAGCGTATATGCGAGGAACGGGCTGTTGTGTGGACGTTTGCGCTCGTCACTCCCACCTTTGGCTGGCGAACCGCAGCTATGACCAGCCTCATCCACTCGATTGGCGAGAAAAATTCGTAGCTGGTTAGCCAAGAACTCACGTTTCCTTCGTCAGTACCAGGTGTAACCAGAGGACAGGCTGAATACAAGGAGTGCGTTTTGTACGGGGTGCTGTACTACGTTCATTCTTCTACAGTGACGGACTACTGAAATGTAAATAGATTGGTTCAGTATCTCTCTACAATTAATAGATTAACATGACTTCTGTCTTCTTAGCAGCAATCCGTCCTAGTTCACACACGAACAGGGATTCAAACACCCAGTAGTTCACAATCTGCACACTTAATCAGAAATATTCTTACAGCATGGCCAACAAAAGCAACTCAGGGTACATTCCTGTCTTGACATTTGCGTCACAATCCCAAGGTACCGCTCTGTACCGGATCGAACACAAGTTCGAAGTGTTTGAACAAAGCGGCTTGATTCGGTACAGAGCGGTACCTTGGGATGGTCACACAAATGTCAAGACATGAATGTAATGTACCCTCAAATATACACTAGCAACACAAAGAGTGGAGTGGACTAACTACAGCAGCTACGGTACACTCATCATGAACCCTAGAAATTTGTAACAAAGTTGAGAGCCAGCCATGTCCAAAACCAAACTAGGACTGGTAAACGTCTTCACTACTGTGTGAGCTGCAGCGCATCTAAGTAGAGCCCATCCTTCCACAACCCACTCTCCGTCTCCCACAGGCGCATATTCAGTGTGGGAGCCACTGTCAGACTCCCCTGGCGTTGCCCCCTTGATGGTCACACAGCCGGCAGGCAGGGTGGTCCAGTCAGGCAGCACAGCAATGGTGGTGGTGGAGATTTGCAGCTGCCTCTGCGTGCCTCCCCCTCCCCCAGCACTCCCCTCCTCCTTCACGTTGCTCCATAAAGGGAGCCCGTTCCACATGAACGAGCGACTCCGCTGCCCGCTTGCTGCCCATGCATACTCGGCGTCGCGGGAGACGCGCCACGCCACGTCGTACACCCCGCAGCGCAGGGGGAACGGCAGCGCCACGTGTCCGTTGATATCGAACCAGCATACCGTTAGCAGATGCGGCACGTCGGGAAACACCGCGCCAGTGGTGTTACCCCCCGTCTCCATGTGCCAGTAGCGAGGGTCGCCCATCCACGTAACCCCGCACGCCTTCGCTATACTCACGCTCACCCTGAGCTTGGCGGTTACGGGGTCCATGCGCGCGTGGAACACCCCTCCGTCCAGCAGCACCCCGCGGCACAGCGCGCGGCACCACGCGCGCGGGTGCGGGTCGCGGGAGGCGAGCGGCAGCGCGGTGAAGCAAGCGTGGCGGCAGAGGTCCGGCAGCACGCGCTGCCATGCATCCGGCGACGCGGCAGCAGCGCGCCAAGCCGAGCAGACCGAGGCAGAGCGGGCGATGTCAGCGGGAGGCAGGAGGAGAAGACGCACGCGAGACACTCGTCAGGCAGGTCCGTCACTCTCGTTGCGGCCCTCCTGAGCCTTCTCTCCATCGGGGACCCGACGTATTGTACCGCGGCAGCTGCCTAGATTCGTGATGCTAGCATGAAACTGTGGGGTTAGCATGTTATTGGTACCAACCATGTCGAGCGTCCGACGCATGTCTAACTTAGGACGCGGTGAAAGTGCAATTATCGCGGGATCGTCTTCATATATCGAGCCTCACAATCGAGTGTACTGATCGTTTGGCGAAACATGACGATCGCTCCGTTGTAACGATCGCACCTGAGATTGGTGTTCCATGTTCCACATACGAGAGCACTGCCTGCCTGCGACACGGGCCCAAAAATTACAAGCGTCGTCCAAGCCCACCTGCGACAGTCGCAGCCCACAGGGCAACCACCCTTGGCGATGTGATGTTTACAGATTTCGAATCACGTTTGTGTTTGAGCTGAACTGATGGTTGTGTTGACGGGAGTGTTGACGGTTTTTGGATGGGTTGATGGATGTGCATCAGCGAGGCCCGAGTCGCGGTTGGAATGCTGCGAAATGTCGAGAACCCTGGCGACTCCCTTTTCTGGCCCTGCGATAACTTCGGCGACTGCATGCTTCCGAATCAATCGCGCCAGGTAGGCTCGGTTCACTTGATTGATGTCTATCACTGATCTCCCGCGATCAACTATCAGTCTCATTCACACACAGAACCCTAATTTTGGCCAAAACATATACTGTAGAATGGTTACATTAGGGTAAATAGGGTAACTGAGCCGCACACCGATCGCCACTGACGATCGCTCGTCTACTTTCACCGCGTCCTTAGGATGCGGCCGCTGCCTTTTATGTGTGTCTGGGATTCTTGGCAGACAAGGCGGAGTGGTGGAATCACGATTCACAAGCTCCCCAGTTCCGCGCTGGCCCGCTTCAAAATCCACAGTACCGGACTGGAACGCTTCATTAGTACTCCGAGCTGGTCCGGAGGGCCCGACGTCCGCCGAAGCAGGGCTGGTCCGACGGACCAGGCCCGAACCAAAGACACACGTTTGGTGTGACGGACCAGCCCCAGGGAGTGGCTGTACGCGTTTCTGTACTACGATTATCTTTCTACATCGACGAACTACTGAAATGTAAAAAGAAATGCTTACATATTTTCTCAACAATTATTATACGAATAGGTCTTCGTCTTTCTTACTGTATTCAATCCTTGTTCTCACTGTTGAAGAAAGTAATTTGACTTTATACGGTACAATTCAGTCGTTCGATATTACTCAGCCGAACAATCACGTAAAGGGATTTAATCATCCTAGTGGTTCAAAATCTAGGTCCTCAGTCTCAGCCCAACAAAACACCTCAATAATGGCAGCACAAAGAATGGACTAACTTCAGCAGCTACTCTCATGAACCCTAGACATCAACAGACTTGAGAGCCAGCCATGTCCAAAACCAAACTGGTACACGGCTTCACTGCTCAGTGAGTTGCAGCGCATCCAAGTAGAGCCCATCCTTCCACCACCCACTCTCCGTCTCCCACAGGCGCATATTCAGCGTGGGAGCCACTGCCGTCTCCCCTGCCGTTGCCCCCCTGAAGGTCACACGGCCGGCAGGCAGGGTGGTCCAGTCAGGCAGCACGGGGATGGTGGCGGTGGAGATTTGCAGCCGCCTCTGCGCGCCTTCCCCTCCCCCGGCACTCCCCTCCTCCCTCACGTTGCTCAATGCAGGGTTCCGTACCCACTTGAACGCACAGTGCCTATCCACTCGCCTCAATGCCCCCCTCCTCCTCTCCCAGTCCTGCTGCTGCTCTCTGCCGTGCTGACCCCGATTCACATTCTCAGTGCGCCGTGCCTGCACCCCGTGCTCCCGCCCTATTAACCGCCGCATCATCCCCACCATGCGGTGAAATGGGTTTCCTGCACCGCCACCGCCACCGCCACCGACCACTTGCGAGATATTCCTTGCTTCGGGCGTCCCTCTCGAACCTGCTGGCTGTTCTCCGTCATGCACCCCCCCCGTCCCTCCCTCCAACTCCTCCTCGCCATCCTCCTCCTCGCCATCCTCCTCCTCGCCATCCTCCTCCTCCTCCCATTCGTCCCCACCTTCATCCAGCACCCGCGCATGCCTCTGCTGCCCGCATATTGCCCGTGCGTACTCGTCGTGCGACGGGTCGCGGGAGACGCGCCATGCAACGTCGTACACCCCGCAGCGCAGGGGGAACGGCAGCGCCACGGGAGGAACGGTCCTGACTTCGAACCAGCATATCGTGAGCAGGTGCGCCACGTCGGGAAACAACGCGCCAGTGGTGTTACCACGCGTTTCCATGTGCCAGTAGTCACGGTCACGGTCGTCCATCCCCACAATCTCGCACGCCTTCGCTATACTCACGCTCACAGTGAGCTTGGCGGTGCGGGGGTCCATGCGGGCGTGGAACGCATCGCCGTCCAGCAGCACCCCGCGGCACAGCGCGCGGCACCACGCGCGCGGGAGCGGGTCGCGGGAGGCGAGCGGCAGCGCGGTGAAGCAAGCGTGGCGGCAGAGGTCCGGCAGCACGCGCCGCCACGCATGCGGGGACGCCGCAGCAGCGCGCCAAGCCGAGCAGACCGAGGCAGAGCGGGCGATGAGGGCGGGAGGCAGGAAGGAGAGGACGCACGCGAGACAGTCGTCAGGCAGGTCCGACATGCCCGTCTCCCTCATTGCGGCCGTCATCCTCTCAATGGGTGACTCGACGTATTGTACCGCGGCCGCTGCCTAAATTCGTGGTGCTAGAAGCATGCAACTGTGGGGTTAGCATGCTATTGGTACCACAAATGTCCAGTGTCCGACTCATGTATGCGACCGCCGCCTTTTATGGCGTGTCACACACCCTTATGTCCGTTCGGTAGGCATAATTATGCGTGACTGGGATTCTTGGCGGGGAAGGCGGTGTTGTTGGAATCACAAGCTCCCACCCCAGCCCCGCGTGGTCCGCTTCAAATTACCGAGTACAGTACAGTACCAGAAGCAGGTCTGGCCCGACGGACCTGGCCCGAACCAACCTTCCAGCCTGCTCTGTCGGGCCGGCCCCAAACCACGGCTGGGAGTGCTGTTTTATGGTAATATTTTTACAGCCTCGAACTACTGATGTGAACAGTTATGTTTACTTTTCTCAACAATTACAATAATCAATACTTTTCTCAACAATTACACGTACAGGGATTCAATACTTCCAGATATTCACAAAATGGGAGAGAGAGGCACAGCAACCATCAGCAAATGCCGCATGAAATGTTCTGGTAGCCTTCTGGATACCCCAGAGCCCCACACCCCATCCCACCCCCACAGCCCACAATTCCAAGAATGGCCCACAGCGGCCCGGCCTCAGTAGGTGCAGTCAACGACAAAGGGGCTGAGGGAGAGGAAGTCCTCTGCGACCATGGCCAGCTTGAGGTCCACCTCGCCCCCTCCCATCCAGAAGCACAGGACTGGACGCTACACTGAGTGTGAGGGAGGCACAGCACCTGTCGGTTGATGCCATACATCATCCTGTATGCATCTAGTACTAGTCTCGTGGGTGCCCCACCCACAGTCCCACGGGCCCCCAGTCCCAACCACGGTCCCACATGGATTTCTAAATGCCCCACGGCTGCATGGAATCAGTAGGTGCAGTCGACGACAAAGGGGTTCAGGAGCGAGAGGAAGTCATCGGCAGCCATGGCCAGCTTGAGGTCCACCTCGCCCCCTCCCATCCAGAAGTAGCGCGGCCGTAGCGCCAAGATGCGATCTGATATGATCACCTGCCGGGCGGGGGAGGGAGGGCCAGGGCAGAGAGGCGGGTGAGGTGAAGTTTAAGTCAAGTGAATAGTAACTGCGGCGCCAAGATGCGATTGGATATGATCGCCTGGTGGGCGGGCGTGGGCTGTCCAGGAAGGGTGGCGAGCAGGGTTGGCCTATGAGTGTGCAAGTGCTATGTTTGGGGGGTCAGAGGCTACTTGATTGAGGTGTATTTTGAGGCGCCTCAAAATACACCTCGCTGTCAGGAAGGGTGGCGAGCAGGGTTGGCCTATGAGTGTGCGAGTGCTACGTTTGGGGGGTCAGAGGCTACTTGATTGGCTGATGATTGTGGTAATGGAGGGCTGGTTGAGGTGCAGTGTGGCGGAATGGTGACAAAAGAAAGGGAGAGGAGGAGGAGGAGGAGGAGGAGGAGGAGGAGGAGGAGGAGGAGGAGGAGGAGGAGGAGGAGGAGGAGGAGAGGAAGGGGAAGGGTTAGGGCGAGGAGAATGTGTGTGTGTGTGGTTGGGTGCACACACTGCGTGGGCAACGGGGGGAGGGACAGTGGGCAAAGTGTGACATAGAGTAAGGAGGAGAGTACCGGGATGGGAGTGCGGGTGCCGATGGGAGCCACAGCATTGTGCTCGAAGCCGGTGAGAGCCATAGAGTCCTCCTCAGGAGCAAGGCGCACTGGCAGCATCCATGCACCCAGATTATCAGACACGCAAGCAGTCAGGTAACCAGGCAATCAGGCAATCGCAATCAGCCAGCCCGGCACAAACGGCACAACACAATGGTAGGTAGGGAGAAGGAGGAGGGGGAGAGGGGGGGGGGGGGGGGTATGTCGCCTTAAGTGTTACGACTAGGCCTGGTTCGGATTTTTTTGAGCTGCGGCCCCAACTGCACATGTTGGTTGGATCGGGAAGTGAAAGATGGAACGGGACGGCAGGGTAAAGTGCAGAAGGTACAGCATGGCAGAGGTGAGGAATGAAGGGAGGGAGCATGCGCGGGCTTCATGACAATTGCACGTGTGATCCAAGGCAGGCCATGTGGCCGTGATGTGAAGGCAGTGCAACAAGGCACATGGGGCCAGCACGTGAAGGCATGTGCTGTGAGGTGAGGTAAGGTGGCGTGAGGTGAGGTGATGAGTGAGATGAGGTGAGGTAGGTGAGGTGAGATGCATGGGACAACAGAACAGGACAGCACGGCCCGGGCCAGCTGCAGGGCACGGAACACAGCATGATGTGACATGGGGAGGACTCACTGTTGATGCGCTTCTTGGGCAGGCACAGAGCCATTGTTGAGTGCATAGCGTACACAGAGTTGACTTTTGGGGCGTTTCAAAAGAAGACAGCAGCAGGGCACGAAAGAGCAAGTGAGTTGTGATGTGAGGACTCACTGTTGATGCGCTTCTTGGGCACGGTACCGTCATTGAGTGCGTACACGAAGTTAACCTTTGAGGCGCCTCAAAAGACAGCAAGGCATGAACAGCAGCATGTGACATGTGAGGACTCACTGTTGATGCGCTTCTTGGCACGGTGCCGTCATTGAGTGCGTACACGAAGTTGCGCACCTTCTCCGCATTCAGCCGCGCTGAGTACTGCCACGCGGGAGAGGAGGGAGGGAGGAGGGTGAGGAAGGGGGGGGGCAGGAAAGGGGGGTGAGGCAGAGGGGAGAGAGGGAGGGAGGGGAGAAGAGCGGGAGAGGGGGGGAGGAGAGAAGAGCGGGAGAGGCAGGGAGAACGTTTCTTGGGCGCACTGCTGTTGTTGAGTGCATAGACGAAGTTGCGCACCTTCTCCGCATTCAGCCGTGCTGAGTACTGCCACGCGGGAGAGGAGGGGGGATGGGAGGGGATGAAGGGGAAAAGGGGGGGGAATGGGGGGAGGGAGGGGATGAGGGGGAAAGGGGGGGGGAATGGGGGGAGGGAGGGGAGGCGGTGGGAAAAAGGGGGAGGAGGGTGGAAGGAAGGGGAATGGGGAAGGTGGGGGAGGAGGGAGGGATAGTAATCAGGAAGATACATGCTGAAGTCTTGTAGCACAGCATTGCATGCACGGCATGGCACACACTCAGCATGCATTCAGTCAGTCAGTCAGCAGATTCGTGCCCCGAATGCTTTGGACACCGCTGCACGGCACATGGAATACTCCGTTGAGACGTGAATGAAAGAACCCCACCATCTTTTGGTCAGTTTCGAAGATCGTAGTGCACGCAAAACTGGCACGGGACATGTACCATAGAATGGAATGGAATGGAATGGAATGGAATGGAATGGAATGGAATGGGATGGGATGGGATGGGTTGGGATGGGATGGGATGGGATGGGATGGGATGGGATGGGATGGGATGGGATGGGATGGGATGGGATGGGATGGGATGGGATGGGATGGGATGGGATGGGATGGGATGGGATGGGATGGGATGGGATGGGATGGGATGGAATGGCATGGAATGGAATGGGATGGGATGGGATGGGATGGGATGGGATGGGATGGGATGGGATGGGATGGGATGGGATGGGATGGGATGGGATGGGATGGGATGGGATGGGATGGGATGGGATGGGATCGGATGGGATGGAATGGAATGGAATGGAATGGAATGGAATGGAATGGAATGGGATGGGATGGGATGGGATGGGATGGGATGGGATGGGATGGGATGGGATGGGATGGGATGGGATGGGATGGGATGGGATGGGATGGGATGGGATGGGATGGGATGGAATGGAATGGAATGGGATGGGATGGGATGGGATGGGATGGGATGGGATGGGATGGGATGGGATGGGATGGGATGGGATGGGATGGGATGGGATGGGATGGGATGGGATGGGATGGGATGGAATGGAATGGAATGGAATGGAATGGAATGGAATGGAATGGAATGGAATGGAATGGAATGGAATGGAATGGAATGGAATGGGAGCAGAAGCATGTGAATGGAATGAGGCAAGGCAGTGTGCATGGCATGGCACTGGTTGGCACGGCACCTGAATGACAGTGACATGGTAGTTGGAGTTGCGCGGACGGAAAAGCTATGCGTTGTGGGAATTCTTGTGTAAAAAGAGTATTTTTGAGACGTCTCATAAATACTCTTTTTACACGTGGCATGGCACTGGTTGTGACGGCACCTGAATGACAATGACATGGTAGCTGGAGTTGCACGGACGGATTAGCTATGCTTGTGCCACTTGTGAGAATTCTCAAAAGTGGCAATGTGCATGGCATGGCCACTCTCGATTAAGTCACAGCACAGCACCTGAATGACAATGATATAGTACTTGGAGTAGCGCGGACGTTGAGTCGACTAAAAAGTCACCACGGTGTGTGTGCATGGCACGGCACTGGTCGTCACAGCACAGCACAGCACAGCAACCTGAATGACATCACATCACATCACCGCACTGTGGCACTGTGGTCACATCACATCACATCACCGCACTGTGGCACTGTGGTCACATCACATCACATCACCGCACCGCACCTGGATGACAATGACATAGTACTTGGAGTAGCGCGGATTGCTGCAATCCACCACGTCAGCAGGCGCCTATGTTCTCTTGAGGAGCCTCAAAACTTGGTGTGTGTGAGTGAGTGCATGTGTGTGTGTGTGTGTGTGTGTGTGTGTGTGTGTGTGTGTGTGTGTGTGTGTGCGTGTGTGTGTGCGTGTGTGTGTCCACGCCCGCAGTCAGCACAGCACACCTGGATGACAATGACATAGTACTTGGAGTAGCGCGGATTGCTGCAGTCCACCACGTCTGCAGGCGTCTGTGTTCTCTTGAGGCGCCTCAAAACTTGGTGTGTGTGCGTGTGCGCGCGCGTGTGTGTGTGTGTGTGTGTGTGTGTGTGTGTGTGTGTGTGTGTGTGTGTGTGTGTGTGTGTGTGTGTGTGTGTGTGTGTGCACGCATGCATGGCACGCCTGCAGTCAGCACAGCACACCTGAATGACAATGACATAGTACTTGGAGTAGCGCGGATTGCTGCAGTCCACCACGTCAGCAGGCGCCTGTGTGTTGGTCTGGTGGTGCACGGGGAATGGGGGAGAAGAGGGGGGGGAGTGGGCAAGTGGGGGAGAAGAGCGGGAGGAGTGGGCAAGCGGGGGAAGGGAAAGGGAGGGAGTGGAGATTGGAACGGTTTTATGAGGAACAAAAACACAGGGGAGGTGGGAAGGTTATTCAGATGAGGGAGGGGGTGATGAAATGAAGGGATGGGACGAGTTTAACCCAGATATCACTCCATGATGACAAACTTTACTTAGTTAAACTATCGTACGTTTGACAACTTGGCGTCAGCATACATACCCTGATCTGATATCACGCCCCGACACTACATCCTGACACCACAATCAGACATCTCATCATATCCTGACATGGTACCCTGACAACATGCCTGGATACTATACCATTACATTACACCACCGCTCCACACCATACACCATGACATCATAACACGACATCATGACGTCACACCATGACAATGCTCTTGCACAGATGGTCAACGGACGGAGCGCCAAGCACGTCTCGCCGCGCCTCCAGCGTCCAATCGTAGTAATCCGACGGCACCCGCCGAAACCGGAATCGCGTGATACCTCCCGCTCGAATCGCGTCTGCGAGTCGCGTCTGCGTGGCGGTCTCATCCCCTGCCGCCACGTCACCAGGCAGCGGACCTTCCATATCCTTCAAATCATCGCTTCCTTCCTGCGACGCGTGCCCGGAAGGGACGCCGCGGGAGGCGGCGTTACTTGTGGAAGGTTCGAGCCAGCTTCGCTGCGCCGCGGCGGTGATTGCGGCGAGGCGATCAGTGAGTTGGTCGATCTTAGATAGAATGGTGACCTGACGCGCCTCGAGCTGCTGCTGGGTGGCAATATCGAGGTCGGGCGACATGGTATTGCGAGGCGGAGAGGAGGATGATGATTGGAGGAAAATGAAAGTTGCATCAGCTGGGGGAAACTTTTGATTTGACAATGGCGGTTTTGGTTTGGACGAATTGACGAGGCTGGTGTTGTTCTGAGCTTCCGGGCAAACCTTGGAATAACAAATAAATGAAATAGTTACTTGTAACACACAAATTGAAGTACACACTTCCTACCCAACTACCACACTAAGGAAAGCAATGTATGAATGAAAGAAATTGCTAGATTTATTGGACCTAGGCAGTTAAATTATCCTTCATAACTCCTCAGCTACATGCCTGTCCCAATGTTAGCCCCTCCATTTCGCGGCGGTCCACCGTCCTCCATGCTGTTTAAAATAGCATCTAAATCAAACACCCCTTGCAGGCTCCATACCTCATCCCTGTCCCCTTCCATAGCCGCATCATTTGTCGCTGTACCCATAGAGGCAGTGCCAACAGCACCTGCTGCACCATCCGCACCAGCAGCAGGAGCAGCAGCTGCATCGGCAGCAGCAGGAGCAAGAGCAGGAGTAGGAGCAGGGGTGTGCGAGGCATCGGCTTGGCCCTCGGTTGTCCTCCCAGTACCCAGATTCGATCTGATCTCCCAACCGTGATAATGTCCTGCTGATGCACAATGCACTGGCGTCCCGACATTTGCACCCCACTCTCCGAGAAAACTTAGCTGCATTGGGGAGATCAGGACCCCCGGCACCAGCACTGCCCTGCGATGCAGTTCAGATGTGAAGAGCAGAGGCAGCAAGAGGGACTGCATATCTTCCTCCTCGCCCTCCACTGCTCCTCCCCCCTCTACCACACCTGCAGCTGCACCTGCATCTGCTGCTGGTGCCAATGCCGGTGCATGTGTCGCTGCCACTGCTGCCGCTGCTGCTGGTGCCTCTGGTCCCACAGCTGCTGTCGCGGCTGCTGTGGTTGCTCCTGCTCCTGCTTCTCCTTCTGCTTCTGCTTCTGCTTCTGCTTCTACCGCTGCTGGTAGTGCTGCTACTGGCATTGCTGCCGAAGCCGCTGCTTCTGCAGCTTGAGTGACAGCTGCTGCCTCTGCAGCTGCCGCAGCCACCAGACACTCTCCCCAGCTTGCCTCCTCTCCATCCACTTCAACCATCGGCCCGACATCCATGTAATCAACACACATGAGTTGATTCCCGTCGTCAGCAGTAACTGGTGCAGGGTCGGCAGGGAGAACAGCGGCAGCAGTAGCAACAGGGGAAACGGTAGCAGCGGGTGCTGGTGCAGGAATTCTCCCAGAGGTAGGAGTGTCGGCAGCAGCAGTGGAAGAGACTATTGGCTTGGTGTGTCGAGACAGAGGGGGGAGTGAGAGGCGCAGTTTGCTGTCAAAGACTCCCCGCCGCTCGCTCAGCCGCCCTTCCCTGTCAATTTCCATGCGCCTGCTGATGCTCTTTTGCAAGTAGCTGATGTTCTGTTGTTGTTGTTGCTGCTGCTGCCGCTGCTGCTGCTGCTGCTGCTGCTGCTGCTGCTGCCTCTGCACACGTGCCGTCTCGCCTGCTTGTCCCTCTTGCGTTGACATGTCAGGGAGAGCACCACGTGCAGCAAGAGTGGCGGGGAGTGACGAAGCAGCAGAAGACATCGTGCCTGCACCTCCTGCTGCCGCTGCCGCCGCTGCTGCCACTGCCGCCGTTGCAGCTGCTGCTGTTGTGGCTGCGGTGGCTGCAGTGGCTGCTGCGGCTACTGTGTGCGGGTCTGTACCCTGCACGCCTGCTGCAACAGCGGCCGTGATAGCGGCTGCTGCCGCGGCAACAGCTGCCGAGACAGGGTGAGAGGAGGCAGTGAAAGAGTAGGAGGAGGCGGAGAGGAACGCTGCTACTGTCGCTGGAGGGAGGGCGCTGTGCTTGCTGGGCGAACTCCCCCGTGCAGCAGCAGAGGGCGAGGGAGATGGAGAGGGAGAGGGCGAAGGACAGGCAGAGCGAGAGCCCGAGGGACAGGCCAAGGAGAACCCATAGGCAGGACCCTGATTGGAAAGGTTTTTTTCTGGCTGCTGGCTGGATGTATCCATGGGGTGAGGGCCACAGCCGATGTCTGGGACAGCAGTGGAAACACTGGGAGCAGCAGGTGCAGCAGGCATGGCAGGAGTGGGTTGTTGAGAGGCGGCTAGTTGCCCAGGGAGGGGGTGTGGGGATGCCGCGTCTGGCACCACCCAGCGCTGCGCCTGCTGCTCCCGCTGCTGCTGTACCCACTTCTGCTGCTGCTGCTGCTGTTGCTTCTGCACCGTTCGGTGAAGGAGGCGTGAGAAGCTTTGTGTCGCATGCTTGTGCTCGGAGGACAGAGGGGCAGGGCGGCGATGCGATGCCGGCAGGGAGCGCGACAAGTGGAGAGCCCGCTTCGCCACAGGCTTACCACTGGCGGTGTTCGCAGTAACAGCAGTGGTTTCACCAGCAATCGAGGAAGAGGAGCCAGAGATGGAGAGAGACACGGCAACGTCAGTGCCACCAGAAGTTGTTGCAGCTGTGGCTGCAGCTGTGGCTGCGGCTGGTGAGCCCAGGCGAAGCGGAGACATGGACACGGGCAATACTGGCGAGGGAGAAGGTGACGGCGACGGTGACGGCGAGGGTGAGGGTGAGGGTGAGGGTGAAGCTGTCACCTGCCATGAACTCTTGGCGGCTGCCAACGCCATGGCTCCCACAGGGGTTGCAGGCGCCGATGTCGCGATGCGCGATCCAGTGTGCCTCAAACCTGTTGCCGCAGCTGCAGCAGACGCAGGCACCGGCGGAAGCTGCTCCGATGCCACCACTGCCGCCGCCGCCGCCGCCGCTGCTGCTGCCATGGGGGTACCAGCCGCCCATGGCATCGCTGGTGCAGCGCTACATGAGAGACGCCCCCGGAGGGTCCGCTGCTCCGAAGAAACAGCGCGATGATACGGCGAGCGAGTGGCGGAGCCTGAAGCTCTCACGCTGCGGCTGCGGTTGGCTAGGTCCGCAGCCTCCTCCTCGCCACCGCAGTCCTGCCCAGCAGCAGCAGTATCCTCTCGCGCCGACGCAGAAGCGGGAAAATTCGCTTTTATCGGAGGTGCTGTGCCAGTGCCATCATGTGCCGGCGTGTAGTGCTCCAAAGCGGCGTCTGCCGAAGCAGCGCGCTTCCACGGACGTCCCCGGGACGACGGCTCTGCCTCCGCGGCAGCAGCAGCAGCAGCAGCGGCGGCAGTGGCGGGGGCAACGGCTGACGGCCGGCGGCGCTTGTGCTTAGCCGCGGCCGCGCTGCTGTGCTCCTCCGCCGCGGCGCTGGCGCTGCTGGTGTCGTCGCTGCCGCAGGGATCGGGGGAACTGCACGCGGAAACGCGCTGATGGCTCGCGCTGCTGGGCGTGGGCGTAGGCATGGCGACTTGATGCGCCGAAGTTCCCTCCGACGCGAGAGCCCGCTGCAGAATCGAGACCGCCGCCGAGGGGGGGATGTGAATTGCCGCTGGGCCCACACTTCCAGCTTGCTCGCCTTCCTCGCCGCTTTTTTTCGACATCTGTGCGGCGCCGCCGCTTGGTGCGCCTTGTTCCTCCTTGCCTGGTCCGCGCAGCTCCACTCCCGAATCCACGCGAATCTGCGGCTGTGCGCCGCCGACGCCGCCGCCGCCGCCGCCGTCGCCGCCCACCTGCTGCAGCTTGATCGCCGCTTCTTTACTCGCGCGGAGCAGCGCCTCGGCGGTGCCACGTGGCAGCGCCACGGGAGCCGGGCGCTCGCCGGGGAAATTGAGCTTGGCGGAGCGGCCGCGCAGCAGCCGAGCCGCCATGTCGTAGACCCGCGCCGCCTCTTCCGAGCTGTTGTAGCTTCCGAGCCAGATGCGGTTCCCGTGTACCGGCTCGCGGATCTCCGTCACCCACCGGCCCCATCTCCGTTGCCGCACGCCGCGGTAGCGCGGTCCGCCGCCGCCGCCGCTGGCCGCGTCGCCGTCGTCGCCGCTGGTGTTGCCGCCGTCGCGCGCCAGCGGCGGCTGCGATGTCGCATGCGACGACTCTCGCCGGGGTGGTTGAGCTGGCGACGTCGTCGCGTGCGAAAGATCTTCATCTGGGATATACCGAGAAGGCGACTCTTCCCTCTTCATCGCACTGAGTGTAAGCTTCGTCTCGTTGTGCTGCTGCGCTTCAGCCGCGTCGCCTTGCTCAGTTTTCCGTTGATGGTGCTCCTGCGACAGATGCTGATGGGGATACTGATTAGGAGAGTGATTCTGATGCCCCAGGGAGATGTTTCTGCTACTAACCGCAATCATCGCATCTGATCTTGATCTTCTGGTACAGTTTGTAACCACGTTCAGTGCCAACTGTGGGATTATATTTTTTGCCAGAAACCCAGTGCGGATGAGAGCTTTTGGTCTGATCAGCGAAGTTGCGATCGACAGGGCCTCAAACGCCTCAAATACTGGTCGATGAGATTTTACGTTTCCGTGAAAAGGCGTGCCTTTCGCGTTGCTCTTCTAATTGACGGACTTTGGTCGTCGTGAGAATGATATTGGAGATGCAGGCGTCTAGAGGGCGGCTTCTGCCGTGTTGCCGAGATGCCGTGTGGAAGGAGAGAAATTTCAGAATGTGAGGGGTTTGGTTGGACTGGCCTTATTTGGCTTTGGTGGAGCAAGGGGACTGGCGAAGCCACGGATGTCGTCAATTGACGAGAGAGCTCGCCCACTGGCGTTGGTGTGGCTGTTTTTGTGATTGGTAACCTGCTGTTCCCATCATTCCCCGAAATGACGACTGCGGAGCCGAGTCGCATGCTCTGGACAAGACAAGAAGCTTTGGGCAAGGTGATTTTGTTTGCTTGCAGGATTTCCTTGATGCAGAAGCAATTGGGGCAACATTTTGCCCACACCTTGATGGGTCTCATTTCCGAACCGCGCCCCTTGCTTCATTTTCCCAACCTGGCTAGGAGAAGTATCTTGGTGGAAGTAGGTGAGTTGACGAGCGATAGAGAGGATGCCACGTCGGAGAGACTATGCGACCAAGTCATCTCTTTGAAGGGCGATTGGACAGATATGTTCGACTCATGAGGTTGGAAAGTTTGGCGTTTTGTGCGGAGACCGTCAGCGATACGGTCAACTACTAGGGTACACCCAATAATCTGGCTCCAAGTGCACGTTTGGATGTTTCTTTGAAACGTCGTTGCACCTATGACGACTTTTTCATTTCTCAACCAATAGTGAGTGAATGTTATTCCGTTGATTAGGGTGCAACAACCTGCGATGCGTTCGTAGACCTACTGTAAGACTTCCGTCAACTACCTGCCGATAGACCTGGTTCAACGGTTGCAACTCGAGCACTTTGGAGCATTCGATACGTCGACAGACTATGCTTTGTAGACTGGTGTTTTTCTCAAATCCGACAGTAGGTTTTTACTTGCATTGTATGATTGGTTTGTTTGTTAGTTTGATGGTTCCCTTTCTCAATCTCTAAATGAAAACATATCCTGACCAGATATGTTATAGTATTGACCTCAACTGGATAATGTACGTGATGATGGTTAGAAATACTAGAGCAACTAGATATTGCTTAGTACGAGGTGCAGTTTCTCTGCACTCTTTCCACTTTTACATTCTGCTGGAAAATTCATTGCATTCTCAACAACAGAGCTGATTTACAACAATTAATACTGTCCACAACATCCTTCCCCATCCATTGATACACCCCTCTATTCCTCCTCAATTGTCCTCTCCCCATCACCCTCCACCAGACCTCCTCACATCTTCATCTCCCCTCATCAACTCACTCCCTTCCTCCCATTCCCTCACTCCCACATTCCCCTTGAACACTATGTTCCTCAACTGGTTCCCACCGATCCATATCTCTTCCCACCACCTTGGCTTCTCTAACCCCTTTCACCCCCCGGTGCATGTGCCTCCCTGTGTCATCCCTGCCACGCAATTCACGACTCCTCCGATCCATTCCTTGCCCACCTTGCCAATCCCACCTGTGATGTCCAATTGCACATCTACCATGCACCTCATCATCATACCTTCCACTGTATCTCCCACCATTCCCACGATCTCGTGCACTATCCCTCCCACCATCCCTCCCACCATCCCTCCCACCATCCCTCCCACCATTCCTCCCACCATCCCTCCCACCATCCCTCCCATCATCCCTCCCACCATCCCTCCCACCATCCCTCCCATCATCCCTTCCACCATCCTTCTCCCCATCCCGCCCATCACCAACCCTTCCTAAATACCTTCTTCTGTCGCTCCATTGGTCAACCAGCCACTCACGCCGCCTCTCTCCCCCACTCCCTTCCCTTCCACCCCTCCCAATCGCTCTCAACTCCTCTTCAGCATATGACCTCCTTTCGCTTCCACCTCTCTTCCGCTTCTCCTGCTCTCCATGCTCCTTCATTTCTTCATACTTCCGCCTTCCACTCCTCCCCTCCTTCCTCTCTCCAACCACAGCATCATCTCCTTCCCCCTCACCCTCTTCTTGACTCGTTTCCATGCTCCCTGCCCGCCTCCTACTCCCCTTTCGCTCCCCACTCTCTAGCCCAAACCCCTCCTTATCGCGATTCACCTCCCGTCCCTTCCCTTCCACTACCCTTTCCTCTCCTACTCTTGCGCTGTCTCTACTCCGTCCTTTCACCATCCTGCTTTCATCCTTGCCACGTTCATCCCCGCTTCCTGTCCGCTCTCGCTCTCTCACCATGCCCTGTGCTCCCAGGTGATTCTGAGCAGGGGCAGGAGTAAGGGACTGGTGAGATGACCGTCGAGCAGCCAGTGGAAAGTGGTTGGAGGGAGGAGGATGAGCGGAGGGAGGAGGGTGGGTGGAGCCGGGAGGATGAGAGGAGGGAGGAAGGTGGGTGGAGCCGGGAGAATGAGTGGAGGGAGGAGAGTGAGTGGCGAGATGGGAAGGAGGGGCAGCAGAGGCAGGAAATGGTTCAGGAGGTGCAGTTAGGCAGCCGATGCCACCTGCTTCCTCGATTGCATTCATGTTGGTGTCTATGATAGTGCGCCATACCTGGATAGGAAAACAAGGAAACAAGGAACACAGGAGACAGTAACAATACGAAACAAGGAACAGGAACAGGAACAGGAGAACCTGAATAGGAGAATATGGATAAGGGAACAGGAGTAGGGGGGCAGTGGGTAGCCGGTGCATCCAAGGAGTGAGAGGAGAGGAGAGGAGAGGAGAGGAGAGGAGAGGAGAGGAGAGGATGGACAGGGGAAGTAGAACCGATGACAATCGATAAATGCAAGCAGTGTGCAGAGACGGTGGATGGATGGCTAGACTTATGGTAGCTTTGCACGGGGACGACAGGATTCAGCATGGTAGTGGCACTGATACCATGTGCGTGGCACCTCAGAAGCAGCTCCAGCTGCACACTATTGCTATTATTTTTGTGTTACTAATTTCGTACTACTACTATTAGTATTACCACTGGAACTATTTTAAAGGTTTGCACACACCACGACCACACACGCACACATGCACATGCACACAAGAGAGTAAAGCAAAGGAAGCAAGAGCACACACCCACCCACCTCATACTGCGACCGCCCTCTCCCCTGCGACTTGTACTTGGTGCGCCGCCTCCTCGCATCCCCCCTATGCCCTGCTGTAGTGCTGGTGAACTGTGGGGAATAGCTTCCATGGCTTGGCGGCTGCAGAGGAGACGGCTTGAATAGAGGAACCGCGTCAAAGTCCAGAAGAGGCCGGAAATCAGAGCGAGAGCTGCGATTGGCTGTTGAAAGTGCCACATCAGCTGTGTAATCTTGAAGGCGGGAGGAAGGGGTACTGCGTGCAAGGCAGAGCGAAGGGGATGGGGAAGGGGAAGGGGATGCTGTGAGGAAGAGAGGACGTGCGGGTGGGAGAGTGATGTGAGTGTGTTATGAGTCAATTCAGAACTAGGGTACAGATGTCAGGTGGGGAAAACCGGTCTCCACTAACTTGAACGGATACGGTTTCCTTTTGTTTGTTTTTACAACGCACACACGCGCACATGTTCGTGCGTGCGTGCGTGCATGCACGCGCATGTGTGTGTGTGTGTGTGTGTGTGTGTGTGTGTGTGTGTGTGTGTGTGTGTGTAAGGGAGTGTGTGAGAGGAAGCAACCTTGCATGCAATGAGCTGTAAGCCCCATGTCTTCGGTTCCCTTCCAACGTCCACAAGGACAGAACCACATCAGCAGCCATCCTTGCCATCACCCCGCTTCCAAGAAGCTTCTCTGCTTCACCCTCCCCCACTCCCTCCTCCACTCCTCCCCCCTCTCCCTCCCCCTCAACCTCCTCTTCTCCTTCCTCCTCCCCGTCCTCCTCATCATCCTCCTCCTCCACTCCCTCGCTCCCCTCCCTCTCCTCACCCCCCTCCTCTTCCACCCTCTCCTTTGCTACACCACAGCCACCCTCCTCCCCACTCCCTCCCCCATCCTCACTCGTCTCCAACTGATCTCCCCCTCTTCTCCCTTCCACCCCACCCTCCACACCACCCCTGCAACACCAGCACTCTGACCCCACCCGTCCTTGCCACCAAGCGTCCAAGGCACAGCACAGCACATCCACCACTACACCTGCTGCAATCTCCATCCCTCCTGAAGCAGTCTCCAGCCCTGCTTCTGCTCCTCCCTTAGTCGTTTCTACAGTCTCCGGACCCCCTGCTGATGCTGCTGCCGCACGTGCACTCTTACTCGACTCACACGCAGCCCTGATGCTTGTACAATCTTTGGAGCTGTGAATGGCCTTGTGCAGCACTGCTCCCAGCCACTGCAGCGTGCGGGAGAGAAGGCGGCATGTGATGGTGGCACGGGCTGAGGGAGGCAGAGGGGGAAGAGGAGGAAGGGGAGGCTGCAAAGAGAATCCTGCTGCGCGTGCTTCTCTTTTCTCCCTTTTATGGTGATCAGCCAGTGTTTGTCCTCCTCCTCCTCCTCCTCCTCCTCCCTCTGCAGCCAGCAGCACCGCTTGCGCCTCCACTCCAATCACTCGCAGACACCTGGCGACCAGCTTTGCCACCTTGGCGCTGACGTGGCGGCACCACGTGTGGCCATGTCGGCGCGAGACTTGCTGAACGTGAAAGCTGATGGCAGAGATGGAATGGGGCAGACGGTGCGGCTGCCACAGATGGTGATACGGATGGTGCTGGTGGTTCTGCTGCTGCTGCTGCTGCTGCTGCTGCTGCTGCTGCTGCTGCTGCTGCTGTTGTGGCTGGCCGAGGGAATGTGGGGTTGGGTGTAGCACATGCGGCGCCAGGAGCAGCTGCGGCAGCAGGAACGCCAGAATGGGCGAGTATGACTGTGGAGCCTGTGACTGCAGCGAATGTGACCGTGACGGGTGTGAGAGCATGTGAGGGCCGTGCAGCCACGACTGTACCTCGGAGCAGGCAAGGGCAGCCATGGATGCAGGGGGGAGGGAGGTAAGGAGAGACAGGGGCGGCATGGTGGCTAGAGGAGGGGAAGAATGGGGAGAGGAGAGGGGCGTAGGGGGGAGCGAGGAAACGAAAAGCTCTTCTTTGCTAGAGCCTTTTAGTCCGTTTGCCCTTGCTGCTTTTTCTGCTGCTGCTGCTGCTCCTGCTGCTGCAGCTGGGCCTCCTCTTGCTGCTCCTGCTGCTGCTGCCTCTGCAGACACAAGCTCTCCTGCTGCCATCAGACCTTCCACTGGCCCACCACATGCCACATCAGTCGCCACATCACGTGCCACATCACTTGCCACGTCACGTGCCAGCAACGCATCCACGGACAAATCACCCGTCGTTTCCAACCCCGCCATCCCAACCCCTGCACCCGCCACTCTCACCACAGCGGGCGCGTCTTCATAGAAAAACGCCTGCTCGCTCTCACACTCACACGAACGCCCCTCTCCACTCCCCCTCCGCCCTCCCACTATTCCCCGCCGCTTCCTCCGCCTCTTATCCATCCGCGCACCTGCCAATCTACGAGCACCGCAGCCGACTGTAAGAGGAGAAGACGCAGAAGGCGCAGAAGGCGCGGAAGGCGCGGAAGGCGCGGAAGGCGGAAAAGGGCTGTCACCCCTCGACCTGTCACCCTGGTCGGGGGGAAATGGTGGGGTGTAGGGGGGAGGTGGCGCGAGAGGCGGAGGCAGCGGCCAGTGGAAGCGGCGCGAGAGCGCGAGCGCGAGGGACTCTGCTGCCGCCGCTATGGCGGACAGACGCGACACGCGCTCCGCCATGCTCTCCGCGCTCGTGCCGCTGGTGCTACCGGCCATGCTGCTGAGACGGCTGGGACGGCTGGGAACGCAGAGGCCGCTGGTACCGACGAGACCTATGGTGTGGAGTGAAGGGATTCAATCGTGCTGTATTGGCGGCCTACGACGACGACGACGGCGGGCGACGCTCGATGCGAAGGATATCAGCGAAACTTACGCACAAGCATGCGACATGGCCGCTGCCATACCTGCTGCTGTGCTGTCACCTGGGGCGGCGCAGATTCGCCGCCTTGCTTGGCGCAACAACGGGTTGACTTGGTTTTGCGGCTTTGTCGCTGGCGGCCATTACTCGCTTCAGCCAGACTCGACTTCCGTTTAGAGACTGTACTTTGAGATTCTGAAAATTCGTTCTGTTGTTGTGAGTGAAAGGGAGTCGAGAGGTTTCGCATTCGGTCCACAGAGTTTCAAAACATTTTCGTCACGGATTCCGTTCGCGTGCATTTTCGTGAACAAAAATCCCTCACCACGACATTCAAAAACATCTCGTGTATCTTTCTTCAGTAACAAGGAAAGACACTGATAACTTGTAGTGGCGCTCTTCCTGTTAACGCAATATATGAAAGCGGGTATTTAGTTGCAGAAACAGGCACGAAAGCCCATCACCACCACGTGCCACTACCATTGGATTTGACTCCACCATGCCACCTCACGCCGCTTTTCCGCATCGAGCGGCGGCCATTGCGCCGCCAACCTCGGTGCTCCTCGTCAATCCCCAGGGTTCTAGAACCCCCGCCACACATTGTTCCCCACGTTTTCTCCCCCGTTATCCCCTCAGAATGCTCTCCGCCTCCCGCACTCTCTCCGCCGGCCCCACTCTCTCCGCCTTTCCCGCTTTCTCCGCGTCCCGCTCCCGCTTCTCCTGTTCCTCCACTCCCGCATTCCCCTAAAACTCCGCCGATCCAAACCACTCCGCCACCTCCCGCATGGGCGGACTCCACACCTCCCCGCGCCCGCGCGCGCAAGCACCGGCGGATCTAGCGCCGAGAAAAGCGGACGCGGCGCGGACGCAGGCGGAGACGGCGCGGAAGCGGCGGACGGCGGAGCGCGCGCGGGAGGCGTGACCGCGGACGCCGCCGGCGGCGGAAACGGCGGCGATAACGGCGGGTTCTGGGCGACCGTTTCCTCCGCGATGCAGTCGATGGCGGACGTGGTGACGCAGGCGCAGCGGGAGCTGCTGGAGGGGGAGTACAGCGCGGGCACGCCGTGGCTCGATGGTGCGCGTGGGGGGGGGGGGGGGGGGTGTGGGGGGAGTCGGGCATTGGGCGGTGGGGTCGGAAGGAGGGGGGATAGGGGATAGTTGGGGGGAATGCAGGCGCAGCGCGAGCTGCTGGAGGATTCGTGTGTGGGGGGGAGCGGAAAAGGGGGAGGGGGTGGGGAGAAGGGGGAATGGGGAAGAAGGGAGGGGATGTGGGGAAGGGGGATGTGGGGACGGGGGACGGGGGATGGGGTGGAGGTAGTGGGAGAGTGGAAAGTGAGGGGCAGGGAGGGGAATGCAGGCGCGAGGCAACTGCTTTGATGCGGGGATGGGGAAGGATGACGTGGGTTGAGTGGGTCGAGTAAAGTCGAGTTGAGTCTGTTCGAGTCGGTCGCAAGTTGTTAGTTGCTCTCTTTTTGTGTGCTCACTCGTTTCTCGGCCCGTTTCCCCGGCCACTTTTTCCCTTCTCTCCTGGTGATGCAGATGATGACGTGTCGCTGCTCCATTCGCAGATCACCCCGTACAACTTCATCAAGGTAACCATTGGTAAAGGCACACAGCGGATGGAGGGGAGATGATGTGACCATGGTGCTGGGCAGATGTGGTGGGCAGATGTGGTGGGCAGATGTGGTGGGCAGATGTGGTGGGCAGATGTGGTGGGCAGATGTGGTGGGCAGATGTGGTGGGCAGATGTAGTGGGCAGATGTAGTGGGCAGATGTAGTGGGCAGATGTAGTGGGCAGATGTAGTGGGCAGATGTAGTGGGCAGATGTAGTGGGCAGATGTAGTGGGCAGATGTAGTGGGCAGATGTAGTGGGCAGATGTAGTGGGCAGATGTAGTGGGCAGATGTAGTGGGCAGATGTAGTGGGCAGATGTAGTGGGCAGATGTAGTGGGCAGATGTAGTGGGCAGATGTAGTGGGCAGATGTAGTGGGCAGATGTAGTGGGCAGATGTAGTGGGCAGATGTAGTGGGCAGATGTAGTGGGCAGATGTAGTGGGCAGATGTAGTGGGCAGATGTAGTGGGCTCTTCATGTTTCCTTCTAAACTCCGCCACACCACATTTGTCTCCCTTGTCTAGATGGCACAACCTTCTAAAAGGATTGCGTTGGTCCATTGCCCTTACGCCCATTCCCCTTGCTCACCCTTCTCCCCCTTTCCCCCTTTCCCCTCTCCCTCTCTCCCTGTGTGCCCTCTCTTTCTCATTCCTCCCCTCCCCATCTCCCCATGTGCCCCCCAGGTGGTGGAGGTGTCGCGCCGGGCGGACAACAGCCTGGCAGGCTCGCGAGTGCTGCTGCTGGACCAGCCAGGGAACATCCACTCCATGCACTTCAAACACAAGGTGGGCCACTTTTTACACGGCTTAGGAAATGGAGGCAGGGGGTGGCTTTTGCGGCGCATCGCACCTACGGGTCCATGCACTTCAAAGTAGCTGATGCACGAGCTAGAGGGCAACTTTTCCATGCACTTCAAATACATACTACGACTTGTTCAAATACATACAAAGTGACCCCTCTCGATGGGCTACTCCTGCTTACCACAACCTCTTCTCGCTGCTGCTGCTGCCTCTCTGCTCTGCTCCACCCATCATCCCGTTCTGCTTCCTGCCCCTCCTTTCCCCCTATGCTCGTATTCCCTTCCTCCTCTACCACACAGCCATGGACGGGGTCCTACTACGATCTCTTCACGCTGCTGCCGCCTCTGCTGCCCTCCTCCTCGGGTCCCATCGCCATTCTCGGCCTTGCTGCTGGCACTGGCGCTCGGTGCGTGCATGCATGGGTGCATGGGTGCATGCGTGGGTGCATGGGTGCATGCGTGGGTGCATGGGTGCATGCATGGGTGCATGGGTGCATGCATGCATGGGTGCATACATGGGTGCATGCATGGGTGCATGGGTGCGTGCATGTATGGGTGCATGCATGGGTGCATGGGTGCATGCATGGGTGCATGGGTGCGTGCATGTATGGGTGCATGCATGGGTGCATGGGTGCATGCATGGGTGCATGGGTGCGTGCATGTATGGGTGCATGCATGGGTGCATGGGTGCATGCATGGGTGCATGGGTGCGTGCATGTATGGGTGCATGCATGGGTGCATGGGTGCATGCATGCATGGGTGCATACATGGGTGCATGGGTGCATGCATGCATGGGTGCATACATGGGTGCATGGGTGCATGCATGCATGGGTGCATACATGGGTGCATGGGTGCATGCATGCATGGGTGCATACATGGGTGCATGGGTGCATGCATGCTTGGGTGCATACATGGGTGCATGGGTGCATGCATGCATGGGTGCATACATGGGTGCATGTGTGCATGCATGCATGGGTGCATACATGGGTGCATGGGTGCATGCATGCATGGGTGCGTGGGCGCACGGGTGCATGGTTGGATGGGTGCATGGTATGCCATGGCACGGAATAGCATTGTGCTGGGCAGGGCAGGGATCGCTGGCCTGGACTTGCATGCTGTTGTTGTCGTTGTGTCGCATATTCCCTGCTACTTCATCTTGATCTTACAACTCTCACATCTATCACATCTCAACCCACTTTCACCTAACTTTTTCATCCTGCTCTCGGTACTTTCCTCCTCCACCTCACTGTTATCCCCACCCTCCCCCCCTCTCCTCCCCTCCCCCCCCTCTCCCCGCCCCCCCCTCGCCCCTCGATTCCCACTGCTCCCCTCCCCTGTCCTCCGCACTGTGTGCAGCCTGCTACTGCGGCACTACCCGCACCTGGAGCTGCATGGCTGGGAGATAGACGAGCACGTCATTCAGGTCTGTCCGCCAGCCTATGCCTATGCCTGTGCATCCTATGGAACTTGGGTATCTCTTGAGTCTTTGTTGCACCCCATCAAGCCTATTTCTGGTCCATTCCAGCCTGTATTGTATTGTCAGCCACTGACAGCACTGGCCGCACGTTCTGAACTCCAACATGCACATATCACACAGGTCCAGAGGAGAGGACTTTCGAGGCGCCTCAAAACTCCCACATGCACATATATATCACACAGGTCCACAGAAGGATTTAACATATTGTGAAAAAGAGTCTCATGCCCTCTCTTCGCCCTTGTATCTTGGTTTCTGCTGTCTCTGCTGTCCCTGCTATCTCTCTCGTATCTGCTGTCTCTGCTCTGCTGTTGTTTCCTAGTCTCAGGTAGCCCGCACTTACTTTGATCTGGAGGAGTTGGAAGATGGCTCCTTTGCTGCCCAGCAGCTCAGACCCTACGTGCCTTTCAGTGATAGTGACACTGACAGTAACGAAGGAGACTATACGGGGGATGAGAAGGAGGAACAAGAGCACGAAACAAGACCAGCAGCAGCAGAAACAGGAACAGCTACAGCAGAAGCAGACCCATCGCATGCGGATGGCATTGGACGTCTCGTAGCGCACTGCGGCGATGCGCTCTCCTCGTCAGCTACCGTGCCGGGCGGTTTCGCAGGCATCATAGTGGATCTCTACAGCCGAGGCGCTGTCGTGGCGCCACTTCAGCGCGAGGACACGTGGCGCGATCTCAGCGGTCGGCTGCGCCAAGGGGGGAAAATCCTGGTGAACTGCGGAGGGGGGTGTGTGGAGGGGGATGAGTCGGTGCAAGGGGATGGAGAGGCAATCATGCTGGCGACTTTAGAGGCCATGGCTGCAGTGTTTCCACCAGAGTCGATCTTGTGTCATAGAGTAGGGGATGAGGATGGGGAGGATGATGGGAGTGATGACATGGATTGGGACGGTAATGTGATGGTGATTGCGGGGCATGATAGGATGCCATGGCCCCTGCTGCCTGCTGTGCCGGCAACAGCAGCAGCAGCAACGGCAGCAGCACCAGCAGCATCACTATCATCATCACCACTGCCATTCTTAGTACCATCACCATCACCATCATCACCATCATCACCATCACCATCATCACCATCACCATCATCATCATCACCATCATCACCATCATCACCATCATCACCATCATCACCATCATCACCATCATCACCATCATCACCATCATCATCATCATCACCATCATCACCATCATCACCATCATCACCATCATCACCATCATCACCATCATCACCATCATCACCATCATCACCATCATCACCATCATCACCATCATCACCATCATCACCATCATCACCATCATCACCATCATCACCATCATCACCATCATCACCATCATCACCATCATCACCATCATCACCATCATCACCATCATCATCATCATCACCATCATCACCATCATCACCCACATCGTCACCATCCTTAAACTCGAGGGAAGTGGGTGCGGGGGAGGCGAGAGAGCAAGCAGAGGGAGGGGGCGTTGGGGAGTGGGAGGAGGAGTGGCGAGCACGGGTGCCTGCAGAGGTGGGGGGCAAGGTGGGGCAGTGGATGCCGCTGGGGAGATTCATGGAGGCACAACGGCGACGCATGCAGGCGAAAGCAACGGCACGGCTGAGGTGATTCTGTGCTGCTGCCTGCGGAAATGCCGGGCTCCTGGCTGGGGTGACAGGTGACAGGTGCCATCAGTCGTAATGGATTCACTTTTTAGATGGATTCTCAAAGGTGAATCCAATATGACTGCGTGAATGTCGTGCTGCTGGCTAGGGCAACAGCCTAACAGGTGCAGTTATGGTAGTGGTGGTGGTGGCAGCACGGTGATGGAGGTGTCAGCCATGTGGACTGGGTGAGCTGCAGTTATGGTAGTGGTGGTGGTGGTGGCAGTACGGTGATGGAGGTGGAGAAACGGCGGTTAGCGGCTGCTGTATGCTCTGCTTGAAATGGGGATTGTAGGGATTTCTGGGAAATGTGGGGCAGTCATACATGGTCATCATGGGCCATGGCTCTTGTTCTCTTTGTTCTGTTCTGTCCTCTTTACCTCGGAAAAATCTGTTACAGGCTGTGACAGCTAACCACTCTAAAATGTCAACTAAAAGGATGTAGTACCGTACATCTCATATGTACACTTTTGTCTACCCATCCGCCCACCCGTCTACCCCATCAAAACCGTCTGATTCAATCATCAGCTTGAATGTCATCATGGCAACTAGCTAGAAGTCCATGGCTCCTCTACGCCTTTGTGAACTGTGTAGTCTGGGACTGGGAACGATGTTCATGGCGGTCATCTTCTGAAACAGCAGCTTCCCTGTCCCCACGCATTCCAGCCTGGCGCTTCTCAAGCCATCTCTCACCCATCATCCAGCTCTGCCTCTCAAAGCACGGCTCCACGGCTCCTCCTCCTCTATGCCTCTGTGAGCTGGAGCCTGGGCACGCTGTTCATGGCGGTCATCTCCTGGAACAGCAGCTTGCTTCCCACACACACACACTCCAACCTCACTCATCTCCCAGCCATCTCTCACCCATCATCCAGCTCTGTCTCTCAAAGCACGGCTCCACGGCTCCTCCTCCTTCCCTACGCCTCTGTGAGCTGCAGCCGTGGCACGATATTCATGGCGGTCATCTCCTGGAACAGCAGCTTGCACGCGCACAGCCCTGTGAAGAGAGCCCCGTGAAACCCCCTCTTCCTCCCTCCCCTCCTCTCTACGCCTCTGTGAGCTGCAGCCGTGGCACGATGTTCATGGCGGTCATCTCCTGGAACAGCAGCTTGCATGCGTACGGCAGGCGCAGCTCTGCCACGTGCTCTCCCGTGCGACACAGCGAGCACATGGGCACGCGCAGCTTCTGGTGGAAGTACCCTAGCAGCCCGCACTTGGTGCACACCTGCAGGGAGTGGGGAAAGGAAGGGTGAGGGAAGAGTACGAGGGGAGATGAAGACGCAAGCCCCTTTAGGTGGCACCAGGCGGGAAGGCGGCAAGCAATTGTGAGCACTGACCTGTATTTGGAACTGGTCGCTGGAGATCATGAGTCGCTCCAGGATGAGCATGCTGGCACCGTATGCGATGAGACAGTCCCGCTCCATCTCACCCAGACGCAGCCCTGGAGCAGATTGGCATGAGGCAGAGGGGGTGAGTGGGTGGTTTTTGAGACGTCTGAGAAGTCGCGATGAGACAGTCGCGCTCCATCTCACCCAGACGCAGGCCTAGTATGGGGGGGAAGGGGTGCGGGGAGGGTGGGGGATGCCAGAGCATGTGTGTGTGTGTGTGTGTGCGTGTGCGCTTGCACGTGTGCGCTTGCACGTGTGCGCATGATCCTCGACATGCAACGATTGTATGCATGCTCGCATGCGTATACGTGTACGCGTGTGTGTGTGTGTGTGTCTCCGCATGCATGTGCGTGGGTGCATTCAAGAAACAATCGTGGGCAAGCCAAATTTTGAGTCGACAGGAAGTTCATATGTAAGAGAGAGCATCGGGAAGTCAGAGAAAGATTGAGACAGATTGAGAAAAAGGGAGCCATGAAGAGAGAGGGGGACTGACCTCCGTCTCTGCTCCTCCCCTCTGTGGGCTGTCGTGTGAGCACCACTCTGGGACCCCTGGCACGCGCATGCATCTTATCCATCACCTGTACGTAGAGGGGTGAGAAGAGAAAGGAGGAGAGATGAGGGGAGAGGAGAGAGAAGAGAGGCGAGGAAAAACAGAAATGAGAGAGTTTGAGGGAGAGACAGAGATAGAGCAAAGAGAGAGAGAAAGAGAAGGGGCAGGATAGTGAGTGGATGTGGAAGCAGCAAATGGAATAGGTAGAGTACACACACGTACGTCGTACGCCATCTTGTACTTGCAACTGTACCATTCTACACACTTGCTTGCTACTGGTGAGCACACTGTGCAGTGCAACTGGTAACCACACTGTGCAACTGGTAACCACACTATGCAACTGGTAACCACACTGTGCAACCGGCAACCACACTGTGCAACTGGTAACCACACTGTGCAACTGGTAACCACACTGTGCAACTGGTAACCACACTGTGCAACTGGTAACCACACTGTGCAACCGGCAACCACACTGTGCAACTGGTAACCACAATATGCAACCGGTTACACCCTGCATTTGGTAACCACACTGTACAACTGGTAACCATAACAGCACCATGTGCTTGAGCTTCTGATAGTAGACTGGCCCGGCGTAGATGTATGCTTGCAGGGGCTCGCCTGATAGGCCTGGTGGGTGGATGGGTGGGTGGGTGGGTGGGCGGGTGGGCGGGTGGGTGGGCGGGTGGGTGGGCGGGTGGGCGGGTGGGTGGGCGGGTGGGTGGGCGGGTTGACAATGAAAAGGGGATAAAAGACGGATTGGAAAGAGAGGCACACAAAGGGCCTGGCGTAGATGTATGCTTGCAGGGGCTCGCCCGATAGGCCTGGCGGATGGGCATGGGGAGGGAGGGTGGTTGGCAGGTTGACAAAGAAAAGGGGATAATGAGAGACGGAACGGAATGAGAGGCACACGAAGGGCCTGCATAGATGTTCGCTTGCAGGGGCTCGCCCGATAGGCCTGGTGGGTGGGTGGGTGGGGGTAGGGCAGGGCACGAGAGGGGAGGGAGGGGATACGGATGCAGTAGCAAGATGAGATGATGTGTGTGCTTTGATAAGCAGAGCGAGCGCAGCGGGGTTGATGGATGCAAATAATAATGCAAATAATAATGCTAGCTAGCTACTACCCCACCGCGAGCCCCAAGGGCAGCCTTGAGGAATCAGAACCATAATCAGCCTGGATCAACCCAATTAGGAGCTGACTGACCCCTCACCATGTGCACACTACCCTCGGGAATTAGAACGACAACCAACCGGAATAATCAGAATTATCATCTCAAAGAGAGAGTGGCACCACCACCCTACATGAGCAGAGCATGTTCTTGCCACAGTAGCTGAGCCGAGCTGCCACCGTGTGCGATGAGGCCAGAGCCGATGGCTCGTAGCAAAGTATCATCCGATTACACACAGCATCTTTTGAAACAAACACGAACCACAGGAAATCAACCCGAAAAGCTCCATGCTGTGGCGGCCTCACCGGAGTAGAGGATATCCTTGCCGCAGTAGCTGAAGCCGTGCGAGACGAGCGTGGCGCTGATGGCACCAAGTGATGCTACAACCCCACCATGTGCACATCAACCCAGACAGAACCCAGCACAACTGCCCTACCCTACCCCATGCTGTGGCGGCCTCACCGGAGTAGAGGATGTCCTTGCCGCAGTAGCTGAAGCCGTGGGAAACAAGTGTGGCGCTGATGGCGTCGACGGTGTGAGCGTGGCCGCTGGGCTCCCCAAATGCACTGCCGTAGTGGAACTTGCCCGACAGCACGCCCGCCTTGGACCCGATGAGCTCTATCATCTTCCCCACCGTCATGCGACTCGGGAAGCCGTGCGGGTTCATGATCAGGTCCGGGCACACGCCCTTCTCTGTGAAAGGGAAGTCTTCTTGGGGTAGGATGATGCCGCACACTCCCTTCTGCCCGTGCCGAGAGCTGAACTTGTCCCCCAGCTGCACGCAGGAGATAGAGCATGAGAATGGGGAGAGGAGAGAGAGGGTTAGGAGAGGGAGGAGTGTGTGTGGGGCGCGTCGGCACATGCCCTTCTCTGTGAAGGGGAAGTCCTCCTGTGGTAGGATCATGCCGCACACTCCCTTCTGCCCGCCCGTGCCTGCTGCTGAACTTGTCCCCCAGCTGTGAAATAGAGAGAGAGCATGAGAGTGGGGAGAGAAAGTGGAGAGAGGAGCGGCGGAAAAGGGTAGGACGGGGGCATAGACAGCACAGTAGGGGCGGAGGAAGTGAGAGGCGTGGTTGAAAGGGCGGATTGGATGCAGAGGTTTCTTTCCCACTCGTGCGTTGCCTCACTCCTCTGCTGATGACCTAGCCTCACTCGCTAGCGCACCATTTTTAAGAGTCCTCACACAAGGCTCAAACCAAACATGCCTCGCACGCACCTAGCTGGACAACCAATAAACCAACCTCGGGCCTAAGCGGCCCAACCCGGGGTCTATGCGTCGGCATGTGTGGTGGTGAGGCGAACACACAAGGCCATGTGATGGCAGTGGCTCTCCATGTCCCCTTCCCCATCCCCTATCATACAGGCCATTGGAAGGAAGTTACCTCGGGGCGGCGCGTGGCGCACGAGGCACTTAATGACGAAGTGGTTCTCCTCCGCTGCTCGTGAGCAGCACCTTATCCACCACCGCTGCCCCTATCAGCAGCACACAACAAACCAACTAGCCATATGGGTGCGTGGCACGGCCCTTTTTAGAGGTTACCTCGGGGCGGCGCGTGTGTCTGACAAGGCACTTAATAACGAAGTGGTTCTCCTCGTTGCTTGTCAGCAGCACCTTATCCACCACCGCTGTCTCGCCCGGTGGTCCCTTGTACGACGACGGGGTCGGCTTGTAGAACCTGGTTCAGAGACACGCACACACAGGCACACACACACACACACAGAAGTGGAGGGGGGTGAGGGGTGAGTGGAAAACGAATTGATCTAAGAAGTTGCTGCTGTCTCGCCCGGGCGATGCAATACAAGCGTGTCACTATGCACTCCATAATCAAACACACTCACGTGTCTGGCAGCGCCATGGGGTTGA